GGTATCTGATATTCTGTACCTGCATACGAAGCTTCCCTATATTTTAAAACAAGATAAAAACAATTACATTTATTTTATTATATAATGCATTTCAGTTTGGTACGTATAAGGAATTTAGTTGCAAGGCATTTTGGCATCTTAATTGTAATTTGTATGGTCAAGACTCACGTCTATATTGGCGCCCCAGATAAAATCGAACAATGCGACAAGTGTAGCTACCTATAGTTATTAGTTGTAAGGAAAACAGCATACGCCAAATATATATATATATATATATATATATATATATTCACATTAAAAGTTGGTCAAAATGATACTGAATTGATATTGATAACAACTTTTCTTTAGTCTGGAGTTTTTGTAATTGTAATTATACTGACATGCGAGCCCAGTTAGGAAACAAGCCCAAGAATCTTCCTGTATAATTTGTGCAGGCTTTAATTTCTCCATTCTTATTCACCTAATTTCTAGAATACGTAATATATTCTTCGGAAGCATAAGTTTGTTTACTGATGAATTAACGTTTTGTACGGCCCCTTGAATTAGACCAACCATGCAAATATTCCCCACACGTTGATCACCTCTGTCAGTGTCACACCCCAACTCTCGGATTTACAAAACTTTGGGTTAAGACGTGATTCACACCTTAATTATAGAATTTAATAAAAACTATAACTAAAATGTGAAGAAGACATTTAAATAAATAAAATAGATATTTCGCATAAAATATTCAGCAGAAACGCGGAAACGATAACGTTTGAAACCATAAAAATTTTACATTATTTTACAAGTTAGAACTACTCGAGAGTTCACTTAAAGAGTAGCTCATTATTCAACCACAAGCTATGTTACATTCTGTAGACATGCCAAAAATCATCACAAGCTCTAGATTTCAGGTTCGGTACTTGCAAAATCTATTAGGGGGTGAACGAAACCATAGCTCAGTAGGGACATAAGCTTTTTTACGATATAACTAAATTAAGTGATAAATAATTGAGCAACCAAATTTCACATTATTAGTAACAATGCATGAATGCTCTTCATCTAATCCCGTTAATTCATATAACTGGACAAGCAGACCTGCACGTCCCATACCATGCTTATACCACTTGGTCCCGAATGCCCATTTATATGAACTAACACCCATTTCAATCATCCCGTAATTCCCATTTTGTTAGTCATCTTGTCTAACTCCCTTTCGCTAGTCCCGAATCACCCAATAAAAATCATGTGCACTGTGGGATTCCTGAGACCTGGTACCTGCCAAGAGTTAGACTCAACTACACAAAAGATCATTCCCATTACCCTTTTTTTCCACCATTATTTTCTCAACCCAAGACTACCTTATTTCCAAAGCTAACTCCAAGTTAAGAAAACACACAAGCTACGACCTCTGACTTCTCCTGAGAAATTGATCATCACTTACTTTCTCTTGTTTTATTTCTTCTTCTTCTTCTTCTTCTCTCTCTCTCTCTCTCTGCATGTACTACTATGCAATGTCCTGTGTTTTCAATAATCAAAGGAAATGACCCCTATTTATACTACAATAGAGGCGGCAACTAAATGGTTTCCTATTGGTTGGGGTTGCAGAGCTTATAAATTTGGATAACTATTCATTGCAATTGGCGGCAAGACAAAGGATAATGATTCAAATACTTACTAGCCAAGTAAATTTTAGATAACTATTAAATCTATTGACCAAGCATTTGTTGCCATCTACAAGGAGAAATAGCATCAGGTGTTTTCATGCTATGCCATAGATTGACAACAAACCAAGTCTAAAGTACCTAGCTAGTAAGTGGACGTGTCTCAAGCTAACTCTTTTTGGCTTTATCAAATATATGGGTTATAAACTAAATATGTAACATTATATCTAATTTCCCAATGTATATAATCAAAATTATTAAATTTGCATTAAGTGAAGCAAATAAAACATAGATTTCCATAAAAAATTATAATTATAATTTAATACTTGCGAAAATAAAATATTAACATTTTTAAGAATAAGGATTCTCACAGTCAGCCCTCACGCCTCTCTACATATACTTCTTCAGCCCCTGCATGCTTCTCCATCTATCCAATCTTTACACACATTTTAGCTCATTCCTTTTCTTCGATACATACACGACCTACCAAATTAATTCAAATCAGTTGCAAAGAAATGGGAGAAGCTGAATAAAAAATAAAAAATGATTTAATTATACTTGCTAAAACAGCATATGCCAAATCTTTAAACTAAAGAAATGAGACATCCCTGCTAACAACATTCTTTAGCTAGTTAATTAATCATGGTTAGTTTGGTTTCTTGGACCCTTGAAATAAGAATATGGGATTGAAAATCAAATGATCCTGTCTGTAATTATATATTTATTTTCACTAATGAAAGCATGGCGAATTCCAGAGTCATGACTTTGTGTAAATTAGCAGCATATTATGCATGAGCTCTAGCAAATAAGCAGCTTGCCTAACCTGCATGTTTCTTCATCAATAATAATCTTTCTCTCTAAGTTGTTTTATGAATGTTTCTTACGCCTAACCTGCATGCTTCCAAGTTAAGCAGCCATATATACTGTTGTGATCTCTTTTCTTCATACACACACAAAGTAAACTAGCTAGCCTAGCTGTATGTCTCTTTGGTTTGTCATATCCCATAAACATGAATTATTAACAGCATGAATAGAAAGCATGCCGTAAATAACAAGTCATATAAGCTCCAATTTGGTGCAATGCTTGTAAGATACGTAAATCACAGGATGAATTTTCAACTTATGGATGGGAGGAATTTGGATGAATTTCTTCTTTAATTGTATCTTAAGTTGAGAGGTAATTTTGTTATTATCAACCCATCGCATATTTGGGCCAGTTTTCGGAAAAATAGAAAGGTATGATTTTGCGTGTGTGCATTTGATGGGCTTCGTCAAATCTGCCAGGTCTTCTTCTTCGTGAGGAATAAGCATCTTAAAAACCATAGCATGCGCAAAGCGTGATAACTGCGAAACACCTGAGGAGATTTGCCACTGCTATGCCTCGACGAGTGCCTTGAAGCGTGGCTTATATCGATTGTCAAATAAAAAACGACGGCTAGTGTTACAAGTGTGGAGTTTTTGTTTGACAATGGGGCCAAAAGTCTCCAAACGATACAGCAAATTAACAAAGTGATGAGGGATTCACTGAGACTCCCATGTTCTCAGCTTACGACCGCTAATCTCTCCTAATCCGCGCTAAAAGTTTTTACGAATTTTAGACCGCCTTCACATTCTTCTTCTCTATTTATACTTTTCCGAGCCTACATGCTTCTCCATCCCAAAATCTTCTAAGCACCTTTAGAAATCTCTCTCGGTCTCACTCTCTCTCTCTGTTTTTATACACTCCAAACAAACATCATGAAAGGCTTCATGGTTTTTCTATTGCTTGCCATGCTAATAGCTTCAGCCATCACTACTCTCTCTGCAATACCAGAAGAAGAAGAATCATTCTTCAATGAGGAAAACAATACTGATGCAAAGGACGAAACCAAAAACCAGTTTGGAAAAAGCACTTCTCTAAGAAGCCGCTTCCTTTCCTACAGCAAGTGTGGGAAGAAATGCAATTACTCAGAGATTTGCTGCGAAGGTAAGTGTGTGAATCCGAACTCGGACAATGAAAACTGCGGCAGCTGCAACAACGCGTGCAAGAAAGGCACTTCATGTGCGTATGGACTGTGCAGCTATGCATGAACACTAATTATCATGACGCAGCAGATAGATCACTGCTACTGGATCGAGAAGGAATAAGGATATTGCAATATTAATTGCGCAGCTATACTTTTATACATGAAAATAATTTATAAGGACCCTTGAAATAAGAATATGGGATTGTGATCTGTAATTTTATATTTATTTTCACTAATGAGAGCAACGCGAATTCCAGAGTCATGACTTTGTGTTAATTAGCAGCATATTATGCATGAGCCCAAGCAAATAAGCAGCTTGCCTAACCTGCATGTTTCTTCATCAATAATAATCACTCTCTAAATTGTTTTATGCATGTCTCTTGTTCATATTCACCTAATTCGAATATAATTAATATATATATATATATATATATATTCTTCGGAAACCCAACTTTGTTTGCTGCTGAGTTAACGTTTTGTGCCCCTTGGAATGAATTTAGGCCATGCAATATTATTATTCATAGAAAAAACACATGCAATAATATTCCTCTGTCACCTAGGACAGATTGCTGCAGCAAAAATATGTGTGGAGTTGACATATCCAACTGTGGTTCTTGTGGGAAGAGATGCATCAGCTCAGAGATATATATCCTGCAACACTCATTGTATGAATCCAATGTCTCACAATCAAAACTGTGGCAAGTTAGACCAACCATGCAAATATTCCCCACACGTTGATCACCACTGTCAGCCCTCACGCCTCTCTACATATACTTCTTCAGCCCCTGCATGCTTCTCCATCTATCCAATCTTTACACACATTCTAGCTCATTCCTTTTCTTCGATACATACACGACCTACCAAATTAATTCAAATCAGTTAGACCAATATGAAATCGCTCAAGTTTTTCTTTGTGCTAGCGATGTGTGGAGTACTTGTAAATAACATGTTTTGTTATCATGATAACATTCAATCATATAACTTAAAACTAAATGATAATGGGTAGAGGGGCCAAGAGATATCTGATATATTGATATGCAAAACTTAAGATAAAAATCTCTAACAACCAAAACATGGAAACAAACTTATGCCAATGCCAAATGACCTCCTATTTGTACTATTACATACAAGTTGAACAGTAAAAACTCAATCAAGAAGTCGAGACCGTTTATGTGGCTTACAACACGAACAAAATTACCTCTTCTCTGGTAGACCAAATTAACAGATCTAGTATGATCCTTTGTCATCAATGCAACAGCAAGAGTAAGAACCATTAGTAACCACTAAGTACATCGCGTCTTTCATTAATCATATATAAAAGATTACTCAGATTAGTTGAAAGGTGCAGATGCCGAACACGAGGCGACCCACAATGAAGAAAGGTAAATATGACATATACCATATCATCAATGCAACTGCAAGAGTAAGAACCATTAGTAATAACTAAGTACATCGCATCTTTCATTAATCGTATATGAAAGATTATTCCGATCAATTGAAGGGTGAAGATTCCGAACACGAGGCGGCCCACAATGAAGAAAGGTAAATATGACACATACCCTATCATCAATGCAATTGCAAGAGTAAGAACCATTAGTAATATCTTTCATTAATCATATATGAAAGATTACTCGGATCAATTGAAGGGTGCAGATGCCGAACACGAGGCAGCCCACAATGAAGAAAGGTACATATGACAAATACCCTATCATCAATGCAACTGCAAGAGTAAGAGCCATTAGTAATAACAAAGTATATCGCTAAGAGCCATTAGTAATAACAAAGTATATCGCGTCTTTCATTAATCATATATGAAAGATTACTCGGATCAGTTGAAGGGTGCAGATGTCAAACACGAGGCGGCCCACAACGAAGAAAGGTAAATATGACAGATACTCTTTCATCAATGCAACTGAAAAAGTAAGAACCATTAGTAATAACTAAGCACATCGCGTCCATTAATAACAACTAAGTACATCTCGTCTTTCATTAATCATATATGAAAGATTACTCGGATCAGTTGAAATGTGCAGATGTCGAACACGAGGCAGCCAACAATGAAGAAAGGTAAATATGCCAGATACTCTATCATCAATGCAACTGCAAGAGTAAGAACCATTACTAATAACTAAGTACATCGTGTCTTTCATTAATCATATATGAAAGATTACTCAGATTAGTTGAAGGGTGCAGATGTCGAACACGAAGTGGCCCACAATGAAGAAATGTAAATATGACAGATACCCTCTCATCAATGTAACTGCAAGAGTAAGAACCATTAGTAATAACTAAGTACATTGCATCTTTCATTAATCATATATGAAAGATTACTCGGATCAGTTGAAGGGTGCAGATGTCGAACACGAAGCGGCCCACAATGAAAAAAGGTAAATATGACAGATACTCTATCATCAATGCAACTGCAAGAGTAAGAACCATTAGTAATATCTTTCATTAATCATATATGAAAGATTACTCGGATCAGTTGAAGGGTGCAGATGCCGAACACGAGGCGGCCCACAATGAAGAAAGGTAAATATGACAGATACCCTATCATCAATGCAACTGCAAGAGTAAGAACCATTAGTAATATCTTTCATTAATCATATATGAAAGATTACTCGGATTAGTTGAAGGGTGCAAATGCCGAACACGAGGCGGCCCATAATGAAGAAAGGTAAATATGATAGAAACCCTATTATCAATGCAACTGCAAGAGTAATAACCATTAGTAATAATTAAGTACATCGCGTCTTTCATTAATCATATATGAAAGATTACTCGGATCAGTTCAAGGGTGCAGATGCCGAACACGAGGCGGCTCACAATGAAGAAAGGTAAATATAACAGATACTTTATCATCAATGCAACTGCAAGAGTAAGAACCAATAGTAATAACTAAGTACAACGCGTCTTTCATTAGTCATATATGAAAGATTACTCGGATCAGTTGAAGGGTGCAGATGTCGAACACATGGTGGCCCACAATGAAGAAAGGTAAATATGATGGATACCTTATCATCAATGCAACTGCAAGAGTAAGAATCATTAGTAATAACTAAGTACATCGCGTCTTTCATTAATCATATATGAAAGATTATTCGGATCAATTGAAGGGTGCAGATGTCGAACACGACGCAGCCCACATTGAAGAAAGGTAAATATGACAGATACCCTATCATCAATGCAACTGCAAGACTGAGAATCATTAGTAATAACTAAGTACATCGCGTCTTTCAATAATCATATATGAAAGATTACTTGGATCAGTTGAAAGGTGCAAATGTCGAACACGAGGCAGCCCACAATGATGAAAGGTAAATATGACAAATACTTTATCATCAATGCAACTGCAAGAGTAAGAACCATTAGTAATAACTAAGTACATCGCGTCTTTCATTAATCATATATTGAAGATTACTCGGATCAGTTAAAGGGTGCAGATGTCGAACACGAGATGGCCCGCAATGAAAAAAGGTAAATATGACAAATACCCTTTCATCAATGCAACTGAAAGAGTAAGAACCATTAGCAATAACTAAGTACATTGCGTCCATTAGTAATAACTAAGTACATCGCATCTTTCATTAATTATATATGAAAGATTACTCGGATCAGTTGAAATATGCAGATGTCGAACACGAGGCAACCCACAATGAAGAATGGTAAATATGACGGATACTCTATCATCAATATAACTGCAAGAGTAAGAACCATTAGTAATAACTAAGTACATCGCGTCTTTCATTAATCATATATGAAATATTACTCGGATTAGTTGAAGGGTGCAGATGTTGAACATGAGGTGGCCGATAATGAAGAAAGGTAAATATGACAGATACCCTCTCGTTAATGCAACTGCAAGAGTAAGAACCATTAGTGATAACTAAGTACATCGCGTCTTTCATTAATCATATATGAAAGATTACTCGACTCAGTTGAAGGGTGCAGATGTCGAACACGAGACGGCCCACGATGAAGAAAGGTAAATATGACAGATACCCTTTCATCAATGCAACTGCAAGAGTAAGAACCATTAGTAATAACTAAGTACATCGCGTCTTTCATTAATCATATATGAAAGATTACTCGAATCAGTTGAAAGGTGCAGATGTCGAACACAAGGCAGCCCACTATGAAGAAAGGTAAATATGACAGATACTTTATCATCAATGCAACTGCAAGAGTAAGAACCATTGGTAATAACTAAGTACATCGCGTCTTTCATTAATCATATATGAAAGATTACTCGGATTAGTTAAAGTGTGCAAATGTCGAACACGAGGCAGCCCACAATGAAGAAAGGTAAATATGACAGATACTTTATCATTAATGCAACTGCAAGAGTAAGAACCATTAGTAATAACTAAGTACATCGCGTCTTTCATTAGTCATATATGAAAGATTACTCGGATCAGTTGAAGGGTGCAAATTTCGAACACGAGGCAGCCCACAATGAAGAAAGGTAAATATGACAGATACGATATCATCAATGCAACTGCAAGAGTAAGAACCATTAGTAATATCTTTCATTAATCATATATGAAAGATTACTCGGATCAGTTGAAGGGTGCATATGCCGAACACGAGGCGGCCCACAATGAAGAAAGGTAAATATGATAGATACCCTATCATCAATGCAACTGCAAGAGTAATAACCATTAGTAATAATTAAGTACATCGCGTCTTTCATTAATCATATATGAAAGATTACTCGGATCAGTTGAAGAGTGCAAATGTCGAACACGAGGCGGCCCACAATGAAGAGAGTTAAATATGACAGATACCCTCTTATCAATGCAACTGCAAGAGTAAGAACCATTACGGCTTCCACAATTCATGATTATGTTGTCTTTGTAAGAGAACTGGATTATGGCCAATGAAGCCAGATGACAAGGAAATTGAAGGCTACTAAATTAATAAATTATAGTTAATCATACTAGGCAGATATGGCATGGGAGTCAATGGGCAAACTAGGAATAACCCGCATTGTTCGATCGCAAGGGTTCTAATTTTTTTTGCGATCAAGCATTACGGGTTAACTTTATATCCACTTGTCGTGTTTTCTTGTATTCATTATTGTGGATACGGTCATATTAGGGTATATATATCTTACACTTTAAATCTGAATATACACATATAACGTTGCTAATTGGATTATTGGTTGATATATGTGTCTTTGTAAGAGAACTGGATTATGGTCATTAAGCCTTCAAATTTCAGCTAAACATATTACTATATTCATGATTATGTTGTCTTTGAAAAAGAACTGGATTATGGCCAATGAAGCCAACTGACAAGGAAATTAAAGGCTACTAAATTAATAAATTATAGTTAATCATACTAGGCAGATATGGCATGGGAGTAAAGGGGAAAACTTGGAATAACCCGACATGTTCAATCGCAAGGTTTCTAATTTTTTTTTTCTGGCACATGCTTGGGGATTATATGAGTAACTTAAGGAGATACTTTCATGCATGAGCTATTATAAATACATCCAGTCATCCTCAGAGCTGCAGTAGCCCTAGTCATCAAAGGTTTCAAGATCCTTGCACAACCATTGCCCAAAAGTAGTATGTGTACTAGGAGACCGAGACCAAGTGAAAAGTAGGTAGAATTAGTAGGATCCATAGCAACAACATATAATTAAACAAGTAGTTAGGTTATCACATTATATTAGTTTAGGCCCGCCTCGCCTAAGCCCGTTTAGGTCCATCCCGTCTAGACTCATTTTAATGTCATACATGATTCAGTTAGGATCAATAGATAGGTAAAAATTTGTCGTAGAATAATACAGGAGGGAGACATACATAATAGCATATTTGTTCAAGTGTGATATAATCATGTTGCCTAGGGCCGGCCCTGGTCCAGGGCTAATAGAGCAAAAGCCCAGGGCCCAAGAAGCCAGGGGCACAAATATTTTTAAAAGCCCATATACCTATAAAAAGAAAATATCCTTTTTTTTTTCAACAAATGAAATAAGCATGTTAGGTATTGATCATACTGAAACTGATGTCATATATTTTGGACTTGGTCTCGTTCTCCTCCTAACCCATATTATACTTTGGGGAATTAACCGTCCAGGAAGGAAATTGTTGGAAATGTTGATGACTATGATTCTTGCAGCTATGTTGATGATGAGATATCTGTCGTTTTTGCCTTTCGCTTTCGTGTACTGCCTTGTGGGCATCATCATCTTCTTGAAAGCAATGTGAATACTAATGGAAGACCCATAACATATTCTATAATGAAAGACGCATGTATTTATATGTACTTAGTAATTACTAATTAATGATGATCTTGTCTATGTAATTATACTAAGTACATGTACTTTGTGGATGTGAATACTGAATGATGATCTTGTCCTTGCACGATCTTTGTCTAAAAGTGGTATGTGTACTAGGAGACCGAGACCAAGTGAAAAATAGGAGGAATTAGTAGGATCCATTCCTACAACATATAATTAAACAAGTAGTTAGGTTATAACATTACATTAGTTTAGGCCCGCCCCGGCTAGGCCCGTTTAGTTCCATCCCATCTAGGCTCATTTTAATGTCATACATGATTCAGTTATGATCAATAGATAGGTAAAAATTTGTCATAGAATAATAGAGCAGGGAAACATACATAATAGCCTATTTGTTCAAGTGCGCTATAATCATGTTGCCTAGGGCCGGCCTTGGCCCAACGCTAACAGGGCAAGAGCCCGGGGCCTAAGAAGCCAAGGGGCACAAATATTTTTAAAAGCCCATATACCTATAAAAAGAAAATGTAATTTTTTCCTTCCTCCAATTTTTTTCCAACAAGTGAAATAAACCTTTTAGGTATGGATCCCACTGAAAGTGATGCCATATATTTTGGACTTGGTCTCGTTCTCGTCATGACCCATTTTATACTTTGGGGAATTAACCGTCCAGGGAGGAACTTCTTGGAAACATTGATGATTGTGATTCTTGCAGCTATGTTGATCAAGGGATACCTGTCATTTTTGCCTTTCGCTCTCGTGTACCGCCTCGTTGGCATCATCAACTTCTTAGAAGAAATGTGAATACTATTGGAAACCCCATAACATATTCTATAATGAAAGACGCATGTATTTATATATACTTAGTAATTACTAATTAATGATGATCTTGTCTTTGTAATTATACTAAGTACATATACTTTATGGATGTGAATACTGAATGATGATCTTGTCCTTGTACGGCCTTTATCCAAAAGCAGAATGTGTACTAGGAGCCTGGCCCAGCCCGTTTCAATGCGGACATGGGTTTTGGGCCGGGCCGGGATCAATGATTTTACTAAATGGGCCGGCACGACACGACTCGATATATTAAATGGGTCGGCCCGGCACAGCATGAAAACGTTAAAAGCATGAGTTTAAATGGGATGGGCCTGCCCGACACGGCCCATTTGACACATCTAATCCTCATTAGTGGTCCACCACAACACCTAGGGTTCGTCCCTAAAGTTTTGGGCTTGGGTCGGACCTCACGAGTTTTTTTTATTTTTCGGGTCGGGCTGAAGTTTTAATGTCATTGCTCAAGCCCGTTCATTAAGCCGGGCCTAAACTCACTTGGAGGGTCGAGCCTTTTTTTCCTTTTTTATTTCAAATTGTTAGACAACATTAAAAATATTAACTTAATTCATAACATGTGTAAAACAAATACGAAGTTTATTAATTTATCCTGCATATTACCTTATTTTGATTAAATCTAAAATAAGGTTAGGGAGTGCATTAATTAAGTATTTAAAAAAGGCCTAAATGGGCCGTGTGCCCGGGACTAGATGGGGAGAGCCAAGGGTTTCAAATCCTTCCAAGTCCAACCCCATTTAGGAGCGGACCGAGCCAAGTAGGCCAAAAGAACTTGTCAGGCTTTGGCCCATCAAACCTCAGGCTACCCACTTCGACCCATGGATTTAGGGCCAAATGATGATCTCTAATCATATATAATTAAATATCTTCCATTAGGCATCGAAGATCAACAACATGACCTCAATGTCGACCACTAAATCGGCCTGTTTAGTGGCCCTCCTTCTCAGATGCTTCGTCACTGCTCTGATCCCATATGGGTTAGGGTCGTGGACTGCACTTGATGATTTTCATGTGCTCGACCCATCCCATTTTTTAAATTGGCAATTCAAAATGGGTCATGCCAACCCAACACGTCCATTGCCAAGAACAACAGCCATCCAATCATTAGTAGAACTCCAAAAGCTCCAATCTCCAATGTTCCCAAATTTCCCGTACGGCCATTGCCAAGAAGTGCTATGTATAGGACAATAATATTGAGTGAAAAGTAGGCAGCATCATTCAGATCCATGGCTACAATATGTAATTAAACAAGTAGTTATTAGTTTATTACAGACACATTAGCGATTTTATAAAGGAATTAATGGATCTCACCTCAAGTACTTGGAGGAGAAGAGGACCTATGCTTGGTGGTGATTTGTGCATACTAGAATAGTGCTCTGCTAGTTATGAAGTGCTTAGAAAATATGGTAGAAGAAAAGAAGAAACACACCTATATTCATTACAGCTCATGCATTCAACTTTCTCATTAAATTACATATATAACCCCTAGGTATGTGCGAGAAAAAAAAAAATTTGAACCCTAAGGGTCAAACATTGCAGGTTATGCCTAGTTTGTGCATTGACATAAGAGGGTTTAATTACATCATTATTAGTAGCTCGCCATAACACCTAAGGTTCATTCCTAAAGTTTTATGTTTGGGTCGGGCCTCATGGACTTTTTTATTTTTCGGGTCAAGTTGATGTTCCAATGTCAAGGCCTGGGCCCGCCTATTAGGCTGGGCCTAGACTAGCTTTATAGGTTGGGTCTAGACTGGCTTTACAGGCTGCTAATGGGCCTATAGAGGCCAGACTCTTTTTTTTCCCTTTTTTTTTCCTTTTTTTTTTTCAAATGTTTAGACAACATTAAAAATATTAACTTAATTCATAACATGTGTAAAACATAAAAAGAAGTTTGTTAATTAATCATACATATTATATTGTTTCAATTAAGTATAAAATAAGGTTAGGGAGTGCACTTGGATATGGAGTTTTAACTTCTAGTTCAATGTATTAATAAGTTTTTTTTACAAATTTTCTGACACATTGAACAAATTAACTTAATTCATAACATGCGTTAACAAAATAAGAAGTTTATTAATTTATCCTACATATTACATTAATTAAGTCTTAAAAAGGTTAAAAACTGCATCAATATCATAATTAAGTGTTGTCTGATGCGTTTGTATTACAATTAAGTTTGCATAAATTATAGAATAAGTGATTAGCTCTAATTTTTCTAATTTTTTTTCTTTTCTTTATTTGCATTTTCGGGACTTATATTGAATTTTAATGTGTCTCATCGCTAACGCTAAACTACTACGTACACTAGGCCTAGCTAGACCTAGAACCAATCACCACAACCTTAACCAACAGTTGAGGGACCCAAGCAAGAGCAAAACGACGTCTCTTGCTGTGACCCGCACCTTTATCCTTGCGACCCATGCCTCAAACATCCTCCTGTCATAGTCTATGCCACAGTAGAGCACCAAGGAGCCAGCTAGGCGAGCCAAGCCATGGGTGGGACTAGACGCGCCGTGCTGAGGGTTTCAAATCCTAGGCCCAAGCCACACCGAATTCAAGAGCGGGCCGAGCCAAGCAGGCCTAAAGAATAGGTGGGGCAGAGCTTTGGCCCATCGAGCATCAGACTACCCACTTCGGCCCATGGGCTTAGGGCAAATGCTGATCTCTAAGCATATATAACAAAATATCTTCCATTCGGCATCTAAGATCATCAGCATAACCTTGATACCGACCATGGGAATGAAGGTAAAGGTGTTAAACGGACTAGGCCGTTCTAAGCCATATCTTTGTGTAGGTCAGGATTAGGTAATTAGACCCAATGGGCCAGATTTATTAAATTATATTTGTTTTAGGGATTAAAAAAAATACATAATATTATTATATTTATATCTTAATCCATTTTATTTCTCTAATAATATATATTAAGAATTAAAAACAATTATAACTAAAATAATAATTTTGTTTCTCAAGTTTCAATTTTTAAAATTTGAACAATAATCTAGTCCTTTTCTATTCAAACGTACTTGAAATATATTTAGTGGCCTCTTTTCCCAACAAATAATAATAAATCTTGTATATAAATCATTGTAAAAAATATCGAAATGAAGTTGTTAAAAAAATTACAAAAACAAAAAACAAAAAACAAAAAAACATAATACATAAGTCAAGCTTAGCATGAGCCTATATCGGCTCATTTAGTGGCCTGGCAAAAAATCGCATTTAGTGGCCCATAAAAAATTAACTTACTTGTGCCGGAAGCAAAGAAACATATTGCAAATAGAAAACTATACCAACCTTCCCTCCTATATATGATCCATCTCCTTGAAAGTTAGTGTGGAAGAGAGGGTTCATTAAATTATGATTGATCCATCAACTTCAAAGGCAATTAACCGACTCAAAATTAAACATAATCATAACCAAATTGAGTGATTGAAGTAATTAATACTAATTGATTTATTTGTCAAGATGGATATTACATATCCAATATCATCTCTTTGATCAGTTCGACTGGTTCTGGTAATCAATAATTTTACATTTAGAAGTTGAAGCTATGGATCTTTCCCAAAGTGGTCCTGAAGGAATTTACACTGGCAATGCATTCACTTTGATGTGGAACGAAAGAAAATACTTGAGTAGGTGATGATCATGATCATCAAATGGAATTATTAAAGCTTGCTCTTAGGAATCCCAACTGGTTTATCTCTAGACCTTCGCTCTACGGCTCGGGACAGTTTCTTCACCGCCTCTTTCGGAAGATGGGAGGGTTTGCTCAGCCAGTCTCCCCCGTCAACAACCAATGTTGTTCCGTTGATGTATTTTCCTAAAAGCACAATACGGATGAGAAATGATGTATGGAAATCTTTAAAGCAATGTGGAAGTTTTAAGTTGCATAGTGTTATCAATACTGTACTATCTTTCAAGTAGTAGTCAGAAATCCATAAGATATTACATAATTTGCATACAATAAGAAAGCAGACATGAACCATTTCAACTACTAATATCATAAGAGAAAATTAATGGACTCGTCTACAACTACTAGCAAATATAGTCAGTTGGTGACATTGCAATGACTGGTCAAAGAACATGTCGCCTCACTGTATTTGTAACATGAAAAAGAAAAAATGATGAAGAAAAAGGCTGCTAGGGAATATTTCATTAGTGTTTTTATCAAAACTTAAGTAAGGTAATAAGGTGTTTACTAATAAACATGAATAAAACAGAAACTTTCTTGCAAGTCAAGGGACTGTCAAAACTATTTTGCAAATAGAAGGTAAGATGGTGGGCAATTTGGAATTCTCATACTTCAAGGAGTGAATTAGAGTGATAACCTGCATTGGATACAAGATATAGTGCAGCCATAGCAATATCCCATTTCTGACCTACTTTAGATACAAGAGTCTGCTCTTTAAGTTTGCTCAAAATCTCCTGAGGTAAAAGTTTACTGAAGCCAGCAGTGTCTTCAATAGGTCCTGGTGCAATACCATTGACTCTAATATCATAGTCCGTGCCCCACTCCAATGCCAAGCTTCTTGTAAGGCTATCAACGGCAGCCTGGTATAAAGGACAGAATATAGATGAATTCGGTTCAGCCAATATCATCAGTCCTTGTAGTCAAGTGCTACTTGCTACCTCTCCCAGTTCAGGAGAGACTAGGCTGCATTTCGTACATTGTCCATAATTTTTTTTTAAAAAGGAAAAACAAAGAAAATAATGCATAATCACTCACATACGAGCAAAGTCATTTCAAAAGTTTCTACGAATTTAACAAACCTTTGCTGCAGATACATGAATTTGATACCAAGTAGCTGTATAATGCAAAGTTGCACTTATGTTTATGATTGTTCCACCAACAGACGAGTCTTTTCCTGACGCTCCTTTCTTGAGATACTTGAGTGCTTCATGACACATTGTAAAAGTGCCAACAGCGTCTATATCTATAACTGCAGGAACCAATTACTTCAAAGAATTAGAATTCATTTTAAGAGTCTAAGAGCAATTTATCAAATTAACTGCAATATTAAGAGATTAATAATGTGGAAGATCCTTCTATGAAATATGGATAAAACTGGCTATGCTTAGGTTGATACTTGTAAAGATAAACCTGTTCGAAATCCGTTGGGGGATAGATCCTCAGATGGCACAAGGAAGTTGCCAGCTGCAGCATTCACAAGGATGTCAAGCCTCCCAAAATGCTTCACAGTTGATTCCAAAACTCTAGCTGCATCATCTCTTTTTCTAACATCACCCTCAAGTCCAATAGCCTGCAACAAATACAACAATCTAATTTCCATGATTTTATTTTTCTTATGGACATTAAACTGGAGTTCAATGCTCACACTTAAACCATCAAACCAAATACTTCAACAATTGCATACACCAGTCTAATGTAAGAATGTTAAATTCAGCACTGACAGATAATATAAAAAAGGCAAATAGTTAGAACTTTTGAAGTAGAACAAATAAATTCAGCATTTTGGAAAACTCTCTGACAAGAGATTCCTGAAAATTTGGATAGGTACATACAAGTTCTTTTAACTTGAAATTTGATAGCCATAATCATCAAACATTCATTTATACATCAAATTTCTTGTTTAATGATGCATGTTTTCCCACAATGATGCATTTTTTGGGTCAGACTGGCAAAATAACTCGCAGCTGAACTTAATTCTGCTTTTTTCATAAATTTCTCAGGAACCAAACAGAAAACGAGCATAATTGAAAACCCATAAAATGAAATCAACTATAAAGAAAACAACACAAAGATACTGAAAGATATCCAGATGATCATATGACAATTAGAGAGCATAGAAATGACATTGACCATAAAAGAATGAAAAACACAAACAAAAGAGAGGCACCCAGGTAACAATTTGACTAGAAAATACCCGTAAACAACACAGAACACATCAACAAGATGGAATTAAAGCTTGAGAGAAGTACATGAATGCCTTGGGACTGCAGGGTTTCAACAGCAGAGTCAATGACATGTTTGCGACGACCCATAACAGCAATGCAGGCTCCATGTTTGCCCAACTGAAGCGATATCTCATACCCGATTCCTGAGGCTCCTCCTGTCAACAGAGCCACCTTCCCCTTCAGTATATCCGCCTTGAATGGAGACTCCATTGCTCTCTCTCTCTCTCTCTCTCTCTCTCTCTCTCTCTCTCAAAATTTCCAACTCTCCTAGTTTGGAGTTTAACGGACAACGCCAAGCATTCGACAAAAGAGACGTACCAAATTACCAATCAGCCGTTCGTGTTTGACTCTTCAACAGGCTGAGTAAGGTCGGCCCATTACCTGATATACTAATGTACCTTTTATTTTCAGCCCAATAGACGTTGATAAATAAATAGTTGGGAGAAATAGTTTCGCTAGTAAGCCTTTTCCATTACATCTCACTCATCTTTATAGTATGAGGCAAATCACAATTAGACACGTGTTTATGTTACATAGATAAAAATAAAAACAAAAACAAAAGGTTTATTGACAAAAATATATCAATGTTGTGAGTTGTGAATGTTTCACACAAAACAAATCCTGCATGTCAACTCCAAGCCTACGTCAAATTACAGTTTGATTAAGTTAACCTCAGGATTACATTAGTTTATTAGTTTACTAAAACCTACTCATGCATAGTATAATATTGTATTGGTTCCCAAATAGTTAACGATGTACTGACAATGATCTTGCTCCAACTTTGGTTGAAATGAAATCTCATTATTCTGATTATTAAAATAATTACAAATTCTAAATTGCAAAATTCAGTAGCCGTCAAATGTTTTTTCTCTTAGAATAATGTTACTCTTATCAAATTTGTATACTATATTCTCGTACCACCTTATGTAGCAGATGAGGTGGACAGCCACATTAATTAAAATTAATTTAATATTTTCTTTTCGTTTATGATTTAATGACACTTTTTAATCAATGCAGATGTGCACCTCATGGTAAGAGTCTACTCTTTCCGTAATCCTATACGGTTAAATTTAATAAATAAATAAAAACATTTATTTAGAGAATGGAGGATGAATGGAACACTTTGATAAAGTCAAAGCCATTCAATAATTAGAAATATTTGTGAAAAAGTGTTTTTTATCGGATCATTAGATCTAAGATTCATAATTATGTCTAAATTAATTGTCCACGGTTTTCCCTCTATTATTAATTAAAAATATCTTAGTCTTCAAGCTCACAATTCTCATATGAGAAATGAGGTCAGCCCACCACATAAATCTGAAATCGAATGTGCTCATGGCATATTCGAACGTGTATTGGTCAACCTCCACCATTGACCATGGAGGTTTTTATTTTATTTTCTGTATTTTGTTTTTTATGACGACCAAAAAGAGTGTTAACCCACCACGGAATCGTTGATAAAATCCAGTGGGAGAAGAAAATTGTTTTTGCTTTTTTTTTTTTTTTTTTTTTTTTTTTATTCATCGTACCCTGGCTTAAATATAATAAATCATGTTGTCACCGTGATTATTTTAATCACCAGTGTGCGTCTTGTTTACAACATTAATAATAGTGTTAAACATATTTTAAAGCATCTATTACTGTACTAATCGCCATTCTTAAAATATTTTCACTGTACTAACATCTTTTCAATTCGCACATACGTGTATAACTTTAGAGAGCATTCCAAGGTTTCGTAGAAGGTGTGTTTGTATTTCTAATTATGTATGGCCGTACGTATTTCTTTTTCTTCGAGAATCGTACATAAGAATGTATTTCCAAGCATGGATGAAAAGGATTTGTGCAAATATATTGTCCCCGTATCTCCCGTGGAAAATGAGTTGATGATGGACCACAAAAATTCTCAAAACCCAGATGGCCATGGCTTTCTAGTCTTTGGTTTTGAATTGGTGACATCTATATCTCATCATCCAACTCACAAGAATTGACCATAAAACGGCAGAAGGTACTACTAGACAACAACAAAACGAAGGCAAAGGCAACTTTGCTATCTGAATGTTTTGATAAATGTAGCAATATTATTAGTTTATTTATGGCAATGTTAATTTAGTACCTAAATTAGTTTGTATAAATTTAAAGCATCCATTATGACTTGTTAATCTTTTGGCATATCCAATATCCAACTGACATTGCAAAGTACACATATGCAAATAATTGTAGTTCAGATTAATACTGTTTGACTTTAAACTCGATGGAGTGTTATGTGAAGTTACGTAAGCCCAAATAATACAACCAATTATATTGAAACCAAAAATATAAAGCCACATAGGCAAAAAAATATCCAATAAAAACACGATACAAAGAATAAACACTTAAAATTAGTAACACCATAAACTGCTTAACTAGACTACTCGTGCATGGCAAATAAACGAGTTTTGTGAATGAATATATACTAATTAACTAGAATTTGGTCTAATGGTATTTGTATCTAGTTAGTTAGATGAGGTCTCAAGTTCGATTTATATGAATAATGAGAACGATATATATATATTTATGATGAGTTCAACACCTAGTTGTGGATGTATTAACCCGTTATAAAAATATCTTGTACATATCATATGGTTAATTAACACCGCATATTTTAGTCACTAACATGTCAATCCTCAGTGATCTGACCCAACTATACCAACCGGCCTTACAACTAAAATTGATTGACTTGTGACCTAAAACTAATATAGCATAAACCAGTATTGATTACACTTGGAAAAGAAAATCAGTCCCATTAGCAAAAACGTGGGAGTTTTTCTAGTTACCAAAAAGGATCTTAAATTCCAGATATGGCATGAGTAATGAATCTTAAATAGCGGCTTGCATGGTGAAATGCGAAGCATGTCAACGAACTTTATTTAACTCATGCTGCTCTATAAAGTACAAACATGTGAAAGATATGTAAGTATTAGTATATTTCATGCGTATATGACCGGGAAGAAAGCGTCATTCATATTTTATTAAGTTGATTTTGTCTGAAGCGTGGGTTCAATTTTCGTATGTACACATGACACACAGGTAAATATGTATCATGTCATGTGTATCTAGATGGGTGTAGACGTATAGAGTATTACAAGTTTTTTATGAAACAAATCGCAAAAATTAGGAAATATTGATGTGGAGAAATGTATAGTAGCTTATATTTTAAAATAATTCATTTCCAAACACACAGACAAAAACAGCGAAGAGAAAAGATGGAGTTTATCCCTGGTTTATTGTGGGACCAGGGCAACGCATAATTTTTAAAATATTGGTAGTTGGATAAACATATAGTTCTGGCAAAAAAAAAAGATAAACATATGGTTAATAATAATGAAATAATTTCAATAGAAAATAATAATAATGAAAATATATATATATATAGTGCAAATCGAATATTGTGGTAATGATGAAGACACGCAGATGTAGGGACAATGATGAAACATGATTCATGATTGGAGTATGTATTGTGTATATATGCCAAAAACATGATAATTAGATTAGGCTTTATATTCCTTTGATTAGATTGATGGTGGGTCAACATGCATGCCAATATTGTATTTAGTTTCCATTCAAATGCACATTTTAGTTTTATTTATTCTAATACATATAGGTTGATCAAAGACCAACTACCAGTTGTTTATAATAGGATATATATATATATATATATATATGGGATGGATGAGTAGCCTAACTTTTTTATAAGTTTCATACGAAGTTCCTTCATTTTTCAATGTGTTATAAATACCATGAACAACTTTATTATGAGGAAATTGAAATTCGGGGGACAACCTATAATTTGTCTCATGTAATTCATCATATAGTTCAATCAATCAATCAAAAGAAATGGAACAGAAAACCCATAATGAAGTGGTGAGGCCATGCTCATTTAATATATGATGAAAACACCTTACAAAATAATATAACTCCAAACATAAAAACATAATCAACACATAATTGGTTTTAGAGTATGCTATTCATTTGGAAGGCTCAGTAGTCTCATGTGCTTCCGTATCACTCAACAAGAATTATACACGTGTTAGGCACAAAAAGATGTCGCGCATGAGAATGCATGTTAAAATATCTTAAAACTCTCCATTCATTATCTATTATTTTTTTAAAAAAAAATTCGACCTTGCTTTGCGTCTCAATAATCACAATGAGACTCGATTGATATCGAAATTGAAACATCAAATTCCTCCACGTAATATTTACACACCAAAGAAGAATTGATTGAAATATCTTGATTCAAAAATTACCTTATGACAACAAAATAATAATTCCAATTTGATTCTCTTTCACTTCTTTTGTCCAAACACATCATTACAAACCATGTAGGAATACAGCAGATATACATAAGTTTAGTGATCTTATGTTACATGCATGTTTAGTATAATTTTGTTTAAGGAATTTTAACCATTTACTTCATTTGAGAAACCAAATATATGATAGCGATTGATAGATAGCTGTGCTTATGTTAGGTATGAAGCCATAACTCCACAACATTTGGCATGTGTAAAGTGCCAAAAGCTGACGCGGACCGCACTCTAGTCCAGATACAAGTAACTGAAATAAATAGCAATCCCCACGTATTAAAAAAAAAATCAACAGAATACATTCTTCTTGCACTCATAATTAAGGAAGGTAAAACAAGAAGAATTTTCGTATACGCCATCATTACATCCTTTGATAAACATGCATCTTCATTTCACCACTTTTGAGTGGTTTTGCTTTTTGTTTGTACTTTTTTTTATCATTTCATAAATTTATCCTCGTAAAGTTGAGATTCATTAACGACGCGTTTAACGAAGTTTGCTTTGTTAGTGTGTGAATAGCATTTTCTTTTTAAACCACACTGCATCCATGGAAGAATCCCAGAATGATGCAGAAACAAAATTGACTTATCCAGTATAATTTGTTACATTCTGAAATATCAAGTTCCAAATTTGGTTGAACGTAAAAGGCCTAATGACATGAAAGTTTCCCAAATAGTACGGTTTGGATAAGTAACGGGGCGTTTGGTATTCTATTCAAATAGGGAACTCAAAAATTTTGATTTTTCTTAAAGACAAGGAGTTCTTAAATTTATTTTTAAGGTCCAAAACTTGTTTGGTATGCAACTAGAAAACTGTTTTCAAATATTAAACATTTGAGAACTTGCTGGTTGTTAGAAAAAACTGAAAAATATATATATATATATTTTAATAATTGGGGTGTTTTTTAGTTGTTCTTAAGTTTGAGTTTTAAAAATAGGGTTATCAAACAGGTTTTCTTTGTTTTGGACTCAAATTCTGTTTTTGAGTTCAAAAAGTTAGATTCAAGTTGAATACCAAAAAGAAGTTTGCCACTACAAAAATGAAGAGACAATCAAAAGAAGTGAGAGGTTCCCCACACAAGGATTGTGGAACCTTCAAAGAGATTTTAAATGGGTAACAAACACCATGCTTAATTATATTATGCATCTGTGGGCATCTATCCTAATTACATATAATAAATAATTCCTTCTAAAAATTGGAGACCAAGTGTTGTAGGAATTTGTATTTATCCCCAAAGTTGGAGGCTGCTTGGATCTGTCAACCCTTTAGTCTAACACGTTTCCTTTCTTCTTGGAATTTTTCGGAGGAAACACTCGAGTCATGTCTTCGTGTCAAATAATTTTAATTCAATTTATTTATTAAAATTGTAAAATTAATAAAATCTCTACCAAATGTATCACATATATGCTTCTCATAAAATAAAATAATTTATTGTGATAACATCTAAAAAAACCAACTTATAAATAAATTTTTTTAAAAAACACTTAGGACTTGTATTTTCGAAGTTAATCTTTTGTTTTAGCTAGAACAAGACATGGAGAGAAAGAAAAAGAAAGTTGACCTCCTGTTCATGAGTTAAACATTGTTGGCACTTGGTACTACTTTCAGAGCTACCGTTAGGGTTCCACACACACACTTTGAACTCTGGAAAGTCTAGGGTTTCACTTTAAAGTCAAGTCACGGTGAGCTTAGTACGTAGGCAAACAGTGTTACCATGCAAAGACGCCAAACCTCCAAGTAATCACAAGGCAAACTCAAACGCTTATTTTTCGCAACGTATTAATGAATTTTGTATAATTCTATCGGAATAAATCCATGACACTAACACATAAGAGTTTGCATTAATTTGATCGATAGTCAAGTGATACGCTTTGTACTTATAATAAATGCCAAAGCTACCAACTGGCCAAAGGCACACCTTTAAACTAGTTGATTATTAAGTTAATTGGCAGATTTAGATTATATATAATATAATGGTCATAATTTAAATATACATGTGAGGGAGATATGTGTGTGTTACCATGGTAAACATGACTTTTTATAGTAGCAGCTGATTTGAAAGTAATGCTGCCCAAAATTTAAAGAGCAGTTTAATTCATATTATACTTGTACGACTGTTTAACACTAGTTGTGTGGTTTATCAAAATTAAGGGCCTATTAGATAACCATTTTATTTTTCATTTTTTTGTTTTCGGTTTCTGTGCTAAAGTATATATAGGAAAAGGATAGAGGAGGGTCGGTGGAATGAGAGAGGAAGATTGGAGGGATAAGTAACAAAAGTGAAAACAATTTCAAATAGATTTCAGTTTTTAGTTTTTGTTTTCACTTTTCTTACTCATCCCCCTCTCATCTTCCCTCTCAATCACATCTCCACTCACTTCCATCCTCCCTCTTTTCCCTCTATACTCGAGCATAAAAAATAAAAAATAAAAACTAAAACTGAAATGTTTATCAAACGGGCCATAGCAAAATGTATACGTAATTTCATTCAAAGTTTATGAAAAGAGAATGTGAGGTATGTGAGATGAAAATGCTAAAATGATAGGTTTGGAAGAAAGTAAATTGTAAACCCTAGCAATCTTTAGTTTCAAATTTAGTAATTAAACTAAGGCTTTGACCTTCCGTATGTACATGATTGACAACAAAAGATTCTTAATGATTTTATAAGACGATTAACGCTCCTACCAAAGAAAAAAGAGAGAAGACAATTAGCAAAGAATCTTACCAATTTTGTTCTATTATTATTAATTCAAATTGGTCCCTAAATTTCAACTCTAGGTTTTAGTAATTAAAAACTTTCAGTTTTAAAAAATTTAGATGCATGCATTAATCAAATAAAATAAACAGCCTTGAATGCAACTAATTCTTCATAAGTTAGAAAGAAATAAAACACTCAACTGATAATAAAGGAAATACCATTATATCAAATAAACAACTTTTTCTCACGACGAAGAAACATTTTACGATTCATTCTTTCATCGAGTACAAAATATTAAAATAAATATTGGATACATATACTATAACATTTCCAAGCACATTTAGATGTTTTTGCTTTTGTATTGTGACATCTGAATATTCACAGTCCGTCATTCCATGTTCATTATTTTCTTCACTGGACCATTTATTTTCTTTTCCGCAAAATTGGTTTGATATTTCTTATTTACTTTTTATGATGATACAGTAATTGGCTATAAATATATTGCTGGAAGAAAGGTGGCTCAAATTATTGCATATAAATAGTACTAATATTAGTATAGCCACACAAAGATAGAAGAGGTTCCACCGATTTGACACTCCCAATCTACCAATCAGTTTTGTGGGCCCACTGCTAACATTAAAAAAACTTTACACAATCGAATTTTACTGACAAGTGACAACCTGCCCACATCAGAAATTCATATTTGCATTGCATCTGAAATAAATTCATATTATTAATTTTGTTTCACCCTTCTTAATATTTTGTTAAATTCTTTGTTATTTTGAATTTTATTTAATGGCAGAAGATTATATACAAATTAACTGCTTAAGTCTCAGACATCAGCTGATTAATTACCAAATGTCCTTGTCTCTCTTGGAAATGAATAACAAAATATATACATAAAAACCAAACAACTTCTCCTCTCTCTCTTCCTCCCGTGTCTGTCTCTTTCTATATTCTCTCTCATTGATTGGCAGAAAGATGCTTTATGTGTAAACTCTTCATTAAAGCAGCTGAGAAAGGCCTTGTGTTTTTTTTCTGTTATTTGTCTGAAACTTTGTGATTTGAACAGATAAACAGCCAAAACGGCCTGTGAACCTGCACACAACTCTCTCTTTCTGTTACAGCCTTCGTTTTTTTCCCGGAAAACCGACTTGGGCTTCTGCTCATCTCTCTGCTTTAGTACAAAGGGATGCTTATTGATCATGTGGCTGAGCCTCAGCCTCTTCTCCAGCTGACCCCACTTGGGAATTCCAGTGACAAAGTAATAATTATCACTTGTTTGTCTGTTCTGTCATTTCATTTTCTGTGTGAGGTGCTATTGAGCTCTTCCGCCCTCAATTGGGTCTCTGAGTTTTAATGCTTTTTGTTCAATTCCTGTAATTGCTGGCACTGAGTTGAAGTATCAAGTTTTTAGCTTTAATTCGTTTTCAGCTTGTACCAAGATTGAACTTTAGCTGGGAGTCAATTTTTGAGCTCTGCCTGGTCACAGGACTGATGTCAATTTCTTGTTACTGTCTATTAATTGTCCCTTGTTGCTTTAAAAAGAGTTGTTTTTGAACTGGACATATCACCCTAATCACGGGTTTGTGTTCTTTCCTATTTGGTCTTCAGACTGTATTGCTGGGTTTCAATTCATAGTTCTATTGGGAATGGATTTCAAGTGAAGATCAATTTTGAAGATCTGCTTCCAATCACTTTTAGTGATATTTCATATTGGTTTTCTTTGAGTTTTTCTATTATAGCTTTATAAAGCTGCAGAATCATTTGAAATTTCAATGGCTTCAAGAGTGGAGATTGATGAAGATAGTGATACCAACAAAGGCAGTATGTGGGTTTTGGATCAGAAGCTTGACCAACCCATGGATGAGGAGGCTGGCAGGCTTCGAAATATGTACAGGGAAAAGGTACCTCCCTCTCTCTCTCTCTCTCTCGTCTCTCCTCTCTCTCTCTCTCTCTCTCCTCCTGTATATTGTATATACAGGGTTCAGATGTAATTCAATGAAGTGAAACGGTATTTACTCCTTGTCAATGAATTTAAACCTTCTGGGGTTTAACTGTTTTTAAGTCAACAAGTTCCAATTATATTTCCAATTCCCAAAGATTTCAACTGGTAAAATGACTTCAGCCTGATAATAATGTTGTGCATATTTTAGGATGTTGGAAATGAATATGTGGATTTCTTGTGTAGTTTTTGTGGACATATTTCAATTGCTATGAAAACGACTGAAAAAGTGATATGCTATATGGTTTAAGTAATTGCCTGATATTAGTGGATTCTGAGAATAATGTATATTCTTGATTGTGTTGCTGATCCAATTTTCAAATCTCCAGAAGTTTCTCTGCACTATTGCTTATGCGGCTTGCATTCCAAAGTCTTGGAGTGGTTTTTGGAGATTTGGGTACTTCTCCCTTGTATGTTTTCTACAACCACGTGTTTTTTTCCCCCTCCCCTCATGGGAATTTTCAGAACCCCGAGGATTTTGTGGATGAGCTCTTTTCATTGAATTAAAAGACTCCTCTTACCCCTTATTCCGCTTCCGCTTCCCCCTCCAAGTATGGTGGTTTCGTTTTTTTTTTTAGGGCAATGAAAACAGCGGGTCCCAAATTTAACCCAAAACTCCCCCTATAGTATATTTTTTTTGGGGGCTTTCATCAATTGTCCCCTGGTGGTTTTTTAATGGATCATGAAAAGGGATAAAGTTAACACAAATAGGTTTTTTTTTATTTGTTTTTCCACTGTTTTTAAAACATGCTTACCCCATAATGCAAATGGGTGGGATTTTATTCACATGTGGGTGCCCCCCACCGGTTAAAAAAATGGAATAAAACATAAATGCTTATCGTGGGTCCCCAAATATGTTGGAATTTGTTAGGCATTTTTTTTTATTTAGAAAAACCCTTCAGTCAGACTTTTTTTCCCCATCCAGTCCAAATTGGTTTATTTTATGAAAAAATGTTGAAGAACAAAATTTAAGCTTGTGTTTTCCTTTTTTTTTCCGTGTTTTTACATCCCATTTTTAAGAAAGTTATCCCCCCCCCCTTCCCCCCCTGGGCAGGAAAAGTAAGTTTTTAGCCTTGAAACATACTTTTTATTTTTTTGTACAAGAATAGCATATACAGGGTTTCCCCCCCCTAGTGTTTTTCGGCTTTTACATTGCCCCATTATTGTATTTTTTTTACTTACAATTTTTGGGACCCCTAAAACCTCTGTTCCCCCCCCCCCGTTTGGGTTTTGAGTTGAACCGAAAAAAAATCACTTTGGTTAAGCAAAGTGTGAAGTAAGCCCCACATTTTGGCAACCGAACCTGATTTACTTTGAGTAACACCTTGGTAAAAAAACATATACTTTTTTCTTGAATGTTAAGACAATAGAGGAGGTTGTTTTTAAACCAATTTCCCTTTAAATTTTAGTTATTTCCCCTGAAAATTATTAAATACATGACAATCGTACATTATCCTTTTTGTTGCTTCCAAATGGTTTTTTCCTCAAAAACCCATGCGTCCAAGAGTTTTTTTTTTTGGTAAATGGTTAACTGTTTTTTTTGTTGCTTCCATGAAGTTCCCCCCCATAAAAGTTTTTTTTTCCCTATGAATAAGTTGGGTTTTCCCTTTCCTGCGTTGCGGGGGAACCATTTTTTGTGCCCTCCTTTTATTCCAATTTTGCCTTCCCTTGTGTCTGCCCGACAGCAAAAAATGGAAACTATTCCCTAACCCAACCCACCGACTGGGAATGAAGAGCTAACACGTTAATAGGTCCCTTCTTTACTTTCCCATGAACATCATAATGCTGCAAAAAACCAGAAAGTTGGTTTTGGGAGGGGCCATGCAAATCACGGAAAGATTTCCCTTTCGTCCCTTTTCTGGTCCCTCGTTGCACTTTGTTAGTGATCCGTGATGGGAATTTTCTAACACTCCAGCTAATAATCTGGGTACACATTGTCTTTGCACACTAGAAGTCAAATTATATTCTTTTTCCTGAATTTAAATCTTATCTTTTGTTATTTAACCTTTTTGTCTCCTTTCTGCCATTTATTTTGTTTTCTTTTTCTAAGCAAAATTTTTAATTAGAAAAGCCCATGGGGGGCAAACAACCCACGTGTAAAACACAGACGCGTAGGAACAAACTTTTTTATTTAAAAGGCCCTAAATGGGTAAAATACCACCAAATAATTATATTATATATATAATATATATAAATATTATAGAAAAAAGGATAATGGGAAATTTGGGGGGGGGAGGTGTTGTTATGAACATGGAAAATAACAATATTTCCTTTCAACCTTAACAAATCCCTAGAGTTTTTTTTTTTTTTTGTTCTTTCCAAAAAAAAAAAAGAAAAATATACCTTAATAGGGGCTTGTTAAATTACTAAAGATTCTTTCTTTCCCAGAAAAGGGAAGTACAAATGGAAAAAATCAACCCGCTTGAAATGAAGTGGGCGGTTAAAATGTGTTTTTGTTTTCCCTCCCATATCATTAGAAAGATATCCAACTATGCCCCTTTTGCTTTTGCGTTTTAAAAAAAAAAAAAAAAAAAAAAAAAAAAAAAAAAAAAAAAAAAAAAAAAAAAAAAAAAAAAAAAAAAAAAAAAAAAAAAAAAAAAAAAAAAAAAAAAAAAAAAAAAAAAAAAAAAAAAAAAAAAAAAAAAAAAAAAAAAAAAAAAAAAAAAAAAAAAAAAAAAAAAAAAAAAAAAAAAAAAAAAAAAAAAAAAAAAAAAAAAAAAAAAAAAAAAAAAAAAAAAAAAAAAAAAAAAAAAAAAAAAAAAAAAAAAAAAAAAAAAAAAAAAAAAAAAAAAAAAAAAAAAAAAAAAAAAAAAAAAAAAAAAAAAAAAAAAAAAAAAAAAAAAAAAAAAAAAAAAAAAAAAAAAAAAAAAAAAAAAAAAAAAAAAAAAAAAAAAAAAAAATATGATGAAAACACCTTCAAAATAATATAACTCCAAACATAAAAACATATCAACACATAATTGGTTTAGAGTATGCTATTCATTTGGAAGGCTCAGTAGTCTCATGTGCTTCCGTATCACTCAACAAGAATTATACCTGTTAGCACAAAAAGATGTCGCGCATGAGAATGCATGTTAAAATATCTTAAAACTCTCCATTCATTATCTATTATTTTTTAAAAAAAATTCGACCTTGCTTTGCGTCTCAATAATCACAATGAGACTCGATTGATATCGAAATTGAAACATCAAATTCCTCCACGTAATATTTACACACCAAAGAAGAATTGATTGAAATATCTTGATTCAAAATTACCTTATGACAACAAATAATAATTCCAATTTGATTCTCTTTCACTTCTTTTGTCCAAACACATCATTACAAACCATGTAGGAATACAGCAGATATACATAAGTTTAGTGATCTTATGTTACATGCATGTTTAGTATAATTTTGTGTTAAGGAATTTTAACCATTTACTTCATTTGAGAAACCAAATATATGATAGCGATTGATAGATAGCTGTGCTTATGTTAGGTATGAAGCCATAACTCCACAACATTTGGCATGTGTAAAGTGCCAAAAGCTGACGCGGACCGCACTCTAGTCCAGATACAGTACTGAAATAAATAGCAATCCCCACGTATTAAAAAAAAAATCAACAGAATACATTCTTCTTGCACTCATAATTAAGGAAGGTAAAACAAGAAGAATTTTTCGTATACGCCATCATTACATCCTTTGATAAACATGCATCTTCATTTCACCACTTTTGAGTGGTTTGCTTTTTGTTTGTACTTTTTTTTATCATTTCATAAATTTATTCCTCGTAAAGTTGAGATTCATTAACGACGCGTTTAACGAAGTTTGCTTTGTTAGTGTGTGAATAGCATTTTCTTTTTAAACCACACTGCATCCATGGAAGAATCCCAGAATGATGCAGAAACAAATTGACTTATCCAGTATAATTTGTTACATTCTGAAATATCAAGTTCCAAATTTGGTTGAACGTAAAAGGCCTAATGACATGAAAGTTTCCCAAATAGTACGGTTTGGATAAGTAACGGGTTCTATTCAAATAGGGAACTCAAAAATTTTGATTTTTCTTAAAGACAAGGAGTTCTTAAATTTATTTTTAAGGTCCAAAAACTTGTTTGGTATGCAACTAGAAAACTGTTTTCAAATATTAAACATTTGAGAACTTGCTGGTTGTTAGAAAAAACTGAAAAATATATATATATATATTTTAATAATTGGGGTGTTTTTTAGTTGTTCTTAAGTTTGAGTTTTTAAAAATAGGGTTATCAAACAGGTTTTCTTTGTTTGGACTCAAATTCTGTTTTTGAGTTCAAAAAGTTAGATTCAAGTTGAATACCAAAAAGAAGTTTGCCACTACAAAAAATGAAGAGACAATCAAAAGAAGTGAGAGGTTCCCCACACAAGGATTGTGGAACCTTCAAAGAGATTTTAAATGGGTAACAAACACCATGCTTAATTATATTATGCATCTGTGGGCATCTATCCTAATTACATATAATAAATAATTCCTTCTAAAATTGGAGACCAAGTGTTGTAGGAATTTGTATTTATCCCCAAAGTTGGAGGCTGCTTGGATCTGTCAACCCTTTAGTCTAACACGTTTCCTTTCTTCTTGGAATTTTTCGGAGGAAACACTCGAGTCATGTCTTCGTGTCAAATAATTTTAATTCAATTATTTATTAAATTGTAAAATTAATAAATCTCTACCAAATGTATCACATATATGCTTCTCATAAAATAAAATAATTTATTGTGATAACATCTAAAAAAACCAACTTATAAATAAATTTTTTTAAAAAACACTTAGGACTTGTATTTTCGAAGTTAAATCTTTTGTTTTAGCTAGAACAAGACATGGAGAGAAAGAAAAGAAAGTTGACCTCCTGTTCATGAGTTAAACATTGTTGGCACTTGGTACTACTTTCAGAGCTACCGTTAGGGTTCCACACACACACTTTGAACTCTGGAAAGTCTAGGGTTTCACTTTAAAGTCAAGTCACGGTGAGCTTAGTACGTAGGCAAACAGTGTTACCATGCAAAGACGCCAACCTCCAAGTAATCACAAGGCAAACTCAAACGCTTATTTTTCGCAACGTATTAATGAATTTTGTATAATTCTATCGGAATAAATCCATGACACTAACACATAAGAGTTTGCATTAATTTGATCGATAGTCAAGTGATACGCTTTGTACTTATAATAAATGCCAAAGCTACCAACTGGCCAAAGGCACACCTTTAAACTAGTTGATTATTAAGTTAATTGGCAGATTTAGATTATATATAATATAATGGTCATAATTTAAATATACATGTGAGGGAGATATGTGTGTGTTACCATGGTAAACATGACTTTTTATAGTAGCAGCTGATTTGAAAGTAATGCTGCCCAAAATTTAAAGAGCAGTTTAATTCATATTATACTTGTACGACTGTTTAACACTAGTTGTGTGGTTTATCAAAATTAAGGGCCTATTAGATAACCATTTTATTTTTCATTTTTTTGTTTTCGGTTTCTGTGCTAAAGTATATATAGGAAAAGGATAGAGGAGGGTCGGTGGAATGAGAGAGGAAGATTGGAGGGATAAGTAACAAAAGTGAAAACAATTTCAAATAGATTTCAGTTTTTAGTTTTTGTTTTCACTTTTCTTACTCATCCCCCTCTCATCTTCCCTCTCAATCACATCTCCACTCACTTCCATCCTCCCTCTTTTCCCTCTATACTCGAGCATAAAAAATAAAAAATAAAAACTAAAACTGAAATGTTTATCAAACGGGCCATAGCAAAATGTATTACGTAATTTCATTCAAAGTTTATGAAAAGAGAATGTGAGGTATGTGAGATGAAAATGCTAAAATGATAGGTTTGGAAGAAAGTAAATTGTAAACCCTAGCAATCTTTAGTTTCAAATTTAGTAATTAAACTAAGGCTTTGACCTTCCGTATGTACATGATTGACAACAAAAGATTCTTAATGATTTTATAAGACGATTAACGCTCCTACCAAAGAAAAAAGAGAGAAGACAATTAGCAAAGAATCTTACCAATTTTGTTCTATTATTATTAATTCAAATTGGTCCCTAAATTTCAACTCTAGGTTTTAGTAATTAAAAACTTTCAGTTTTAAAAAATTTAGATGCATGCATTAATCAAATAAAATAAACAGCCTTGAATGCAACTAATTCTTCATAAGTTAGAAAGAAATAAAACACTCAACTGATAATAAGGAAATACCATTATATCAAATAAACAACTTTTTCTCACGACGAAGAAACATTTTACGATTCATTCTTTCATCGAGTACAAAATATTAAAATAAATATTGGATACATATACTATAACATTTCCAAGCACATTTAGATGTTTTTTGCTTTTGTATTGTGACATCTGAATATTCACAGTCCGTCATTCCATGTTCATTATTTTCTTCACTGGACCATTTATTTTCTTTTCCGCAAAATTGGTTTGATATTTCTTATTTACTTTTTATGATGATACAGTAATTGGCTATAAATATATTGCTGGAAGAAAGGTGGCTCAAATTATTGCATATAAATAGTACTAATATTAGTATAGCCACACAAAGATAGAAGAGGTTCCACCGGATTTGACACTCCCAATCTACCAATCAGTTTTGTGGGCCCACTGCTAACATTAAAAAAACTTTACACAATCGAATTTTACTGACAAGTGACAACCTGCCCACATCAGAAATTCATATTTGCATTGCATCTGAAAATAAATTCATATTATTAATTTTGTTTCACCCTTCTTAATATTTTGTTAAATTCTTTGTTATTTTGAATTTTATTTAATGGCAGAAGATTATATACAAATTAACTGCTTAAGTCTCAGACATCAGCTGATTAATTACCAAATGTCCTTGTCTCTCTTGGAAATGAATAACAAAATATATACATAAAAACCAAACAACTTCTCCTCTCTCTCTTCCTCCCGTGTCTGTCTCTTTCTATATTCTCTCTCATTGATTGGCAGAAAGATGCTTTATGTGTAAACTCTTTCATTAAAGCAGCTGAGAAAGGCCTTGTGTTTTTTTTCTGTTATTTGTCTGAAACTTTGTGATTTGAACAGATAAACAGCCAAAACGGCCTGTGAACCTGCACACAACTCTCTCTTTCTGTTACAGCCTTCGTTTTTTTCCCGGAAAACCGACTTGGGCTTCTGCTCATCTCTCTGCTTTAGTACAAAGGGATGCTTATTGATCATGTGGCTGAGCCTCAGCCTCTTCTCCAGCTGACCCCACTTGGGAATTCCAGTGACAAAGTAATAATTATCACTTGTTTGTCTGTTCTGTCATTTCATTTTCTGTGTGAGGTGCTATTGAGCTCTTCCGCCCTCAATTGGGTCTCTGAGTTTTAATGCTTTTTGTTCAATTCCTGTAATTGCTGGCACTGAGTTGAAGTATCAAGTTTTTAGCTTTAATTCGTTTTCAGCTTGTACCAAGATTGAACTTTAGCTGGGAGTCAATTTTTGAGCTCTGCCTGGTCACAGGACTGATGTCAATTTCTTGTTACTGTCTATTAATTGTCCCTTGTTGCTTTAAAAAGAGTTGTTTTTGAACTGGACATATCACCCTAATCACGGGTTTGTGTTCTTTCCTTATTTGGTCTTCAGACTGTATTGCTGGGTTTCAATTCATAGTTCTATTGGGAATGGATTTCAAGTGAAGATCAAATTTTGAAGATCTGCTTCCAATCACTTTTAGTGATATTTCATATTGGTTTTCTTTGAGTTTTTCTATTATAGCTTTATAAAAGCTGCAGAATCATTTGAAATTTCAATGGCTTCAAGAGTGGAGATTGATGAAGATAGTGATAACAACAAAGGCAGTATGTGGGTTTTGGATCAGAAGCTTGACCAACCCATGGATGAGGAGGCTGGCAGGCTTCGAAATATGTACAGGGAAAAGGTACCTCCCCCTCTCTCTCTCTCTCTCTCTCTCTCTCTCTCTCTCTCTCTCTCCTCCTGTATATTGTATATACAGGAGTTCAGATGTAATTCAATGAAGTGAAACGGTATTTACTCCTTGTCAATGAATTTAAACCTTCTGGGGTTTAACTGTTTTTAAGTCAACAAGTTCCAATTTATATTTCCAATTCCCAAAGATTTTCAACTGGTAAAATGACTTCAGCCTGATAATAATGTTGTGCATATTTTAGGATGTTGGAAATGAATATGTGGATTTCTTGTGTAGTTTTTGTTGGACATATTTCAATTGCTATGAAAACGACTGAAAAAGTGATATGCTATATGGTTTAAGTAATTGCCTGATATTAGTGGATTCTGAGAATAATGTATATTCTTGATTGTGTTTGCTGATCCAATTTTCAAATCTCCAGAAGTTCTCTGCACTATTGCTTATGCGGCTTGCATTCCAAAGTCTTGGAGTGGTTTTTGGAGATTTGGGTACTTCTCCCTTGTATGTTTTCTACAACACGTTTCCTCATGGAATTTCAGACCCGGAGGATGTGATTGGAGCTCTTTCATTGATTATATACTCTCTTACTCTTATTCCGCTCCTCAAGTATGTGTTCGTTGTTTGTAGGGCGAATGACAGCGGTCAAGGTAAACCAAACTCTATATGTAGATTTGCTTCATCAATTGTCTGGTGTTTTATGGGATCATGAAAGGGATAAAGTACATATGTTCACTGTTACAGCTTACCATATGCAATGGTGATTATTCACATGTGTCTACCTGTAATGATAAACATAAATGCAGTATACTTGGTCAAATATGTGAATTGTTATGCATTTTTATTAGAACATTCTAGTCATACTTTCCCATCAGTAATTGTTATGAAAAATGTTGAAGAACAAATTAGCTTGTGTTTCCTTTTTCTTGTTTATCTTTAAGAAAGTAGTCTCTGGCAGGAAAGTAGTTAGCTTGACATAATTATTTTGTAAAAGAAGTAGCATATACAAGTGTCTAGTGTTCGGCTTACATGCCCATATTATTTTTACTTACCAATTTGACCCCGAACTCATGTCGTTGGTTATGATTTGACCGTATCACTTGTAGCAGTGTGAGTGAAGCCACATTTGCAAACGAACTGATTATTTAGGTAACACATTGGTACATATACTTCTTGATTTAGAATAGAGGAGGTGTTTAACAAATTTCCTTTATTAGTTATTTTCCTGAAATTAATTTAAACATGACATCGTATATCTTGTGCTCATTGTTCTCAAACTGCATGCGTCCAAGAGTTGTATGGTACTGTTTGTTGCTCATGAGTCACCATAAAGTTCTATGGAATAAGTGGTTTCTGCGTTGCAGGTGGAACATTTGCTCTTTATTCATTGCTCTGCCGACATGCAAATGTAAAAACTATTCCTAACCAACACCGGACTGATGAAGAGCTAACAACGTATAGTCGTTCTACTTTCCATGAACAATCATATGCTGCAAAAACCAAGAAGTGGTTGGAGGGGCATGCATCAAGGAAGAATGCCCTTCTTCTTCTGGTCCTCGTTGGCACTTGTATGGTGATCGGTGATGGGATTCTTACTCCAGCTATATCTGGTACACATTTCTTGACACTAGAAGTCATATATCTTTTCCTGATAATCTATCTGTTTATCCTTTTTGTCTCTCTGCCATTATTTGTTCTTTCATAAGCAAAAGTTGTTTATTAGAAAGGGCCCAATGGGGGCACAACCCAGGTACACAAGAAGCGTAAGGAACTTTTTATTAAAAGGCCTAAATAGGTAAATAAACAAATATATATATATATATATATATATATATATATAGAAAAAGATAATGGGATGTGGGGGTGAGTGTGGTTATCGACATGGATAACAATCTCTTCCAACCTTACAATCCTAGAGTTTCTTTCCAAAAAAAAGAAATATACTTTAATAGGGGCTGTAGATTACTAAAGATTCTTCCAAGAAAGGAATTAAAATGGGAAAAAATCAACGCTTGAAATGAGTGCGGTTAAAATTGTTTTGTTTCTCTCCATATCATTAGAAGATATCAACTATGCTTTGCTTTTGGCAGTTTTATCAGCTGCTGGCGGGATCAAAGTAAGCAGCCCTGGCATGAAAAATGGTACCGTCATATTCCTTGGAACTAAATGTTTTTATTTTTTAAATGTGGTTCCTTGCCTCTGTACCTCTCTCAGTCACTACTGCTGAATTATGTCTTTAACTGATACTTTGTTTGTTGTGGTGCAGATTATGTCATACTTGTTGCTGTTGTAATATTAGTAGGCTTGTTTAGCGTACAGCACTATGGTACAGATAAAGTTGGTTGGCTCTTTGCTCCCATTGTGCTCCTTGGTTTCTCTTAATTGGAGGTATTGGCATTTTCAACATCTGGAAACATGACAGTAGTGTTTTGAGAGCTTTTTCGCCTGTCTATATATATCGGTATTTTAAAAGGAATGGGAGAGATGGTTGGACTTCCCTTGGAGGTATCATGCTTAGTATAACAGGTAAAGTTTCTGTATCCTAATTTCACTTTTCAGCTCTTTAAGTTTCTGTATCCTAACACCACATCCGCTATTTTGGATTCTGATGACAAATTATGAATTATTACAGGGACTGAAGCACTCTTTGCCGACCTTGCCCATTTTCCAGTTTCAGCTGTACAGATTGCTTTCACTACGGTTGTGTTTCCTTGCCTTCTTTTAGCCTATTCTGGACAAGCTGCGTACCTTATGAAAAATCATGACAACAAAACTGTGCTTCAAGCATTTTATCTTTCCATTCCAGGTTTGCCCTAATCTTTATTTTGCATACATGGGAGAACGCATAAACGGTTTTCTCATAATTAAGCACATTAAAATTTTTAGTAATAGTATTTGATAGAATTTAAAAAATATAAAAATATTTACTCAAGTCTTTTTATTCTTTTAAATCTTAACTAATGTAGATTACTGGGCCTTTTTTTCGGTACGAAGGAGGTCAAAGTGGGATGGGTAGCTTCAAACTTTGACTTTGGGTGTGAGGGTAAAACTCTCTACAAAAATCCAAAGTTGGCTGAAATTTAATTTACTAAACCAACCTGCATTCAAATTCATGTAGAAAGTTGAGAGATTATAAAGGATAATTTCTAATTCACGGATTAAAATGATAAATTGTAAGATGAAACAGATATAAATTCCATAAAGTTCTTTTATGATATGAGAATTAAGAAATCTTTCGTCTCTATGAGCCCATACAATTTGCATTCTTTCAAATTTTTTCACTGTGCCATTCTCTATTGAATCTCTAACGTAAACTAAGAATATATGGGAAATGAGTAACATAATCTCTTAAACAATAAGTAGCATATTGTTGTTCCAAAGATGCTTATTGCTTCTCATACTGCAGAGAAAATATATTGGCCAGTCTTCATTGTTGCGACTCTAGCTGCAGTAGTTGCAAGTCAAGCAACCATATCGGCGACTTTTTCAATAATTAAGCAGGCTCTTGCACTTGGCTGTTTTCCTAGAGTCAAAGTTGTACACACATCAAAGAAGTTCCTCGGCCAAATATATATTCCAGATATTAATTGGATTCTTATGATTCTTTGCATTGCTGTGACTGCTGGATTCAAAAATCAAAGCCAAATTGGAAATGCGTATGGTAAGTTCATCCTTTGCTAAATGTCCTGAAGCTTATGTAAGCCATATTCTCTACTTTGTTGACTAGGCTCAAATGCAATTGTGAAAAATTCTTGGAAAGAATGTTTGGAACTTCTTTAAATAAAGAAATATGAGAGGAAGAAGTATTTGAGATAAATTAGGAGGTGAAGATGTATATGGGATAAATTAGGAGGTGAAGAAGTAGGGAGGTGGTGAACTTTTTAAGGTGACAATACAGACCAATAGTTAACTGACTTGCTGCTGTGAGAAATCGTATAAAAACCTGTTCTAGTACCATGATAACAATCCAAAACAAAGAGAAGATAGAAGCTCTTACTTTATTGAATGATTAACAACCCAAACATTAATAAGAGATACAAGAGTATGTGTATACCTTTAATAATATTCAATTAGAATTTTGTTCATTGATTTTAAATAAGTTAATATTTATGGTAGCTCAGGGTCTTTCTTCCAAATCATGCTTGCACTCAATTGCATTATGTTTTATGTTATAACAGGGACGGCAGTTGTCGTGGTCATGCTAGCAACCACACTGCTCATGACTCTAATCATGATATTAGTGTGGCGCTGTCATTGGATTCTCGTGCTGATATTCACTGGTTTGTCACTGGTTGTGGAATGCACTTACTTTTCTGCTGTCCTCTTCAAGGTTGATCAAGGTGGATGGGTTCCTCTTGTGATTGCAGCTGCCTTTCTTCTCATCATGTATGTTTGGCATTATGGTACATTGAAACGTTATGAGTTTGAGATGCACAGTAAGGTTTCAATGGCATGGCTTCTTGGACTAGGCCCCAGTTTAGGACTGGTTCGGGTCCCTGGGATAGGACTTGTGTACACCGAGCTTGCAAGTGGAGTGCCTCACATCTTTTCCCACTTCATCACCAACCTGCCTGCGATCCATTCTGTTGTCGTCTTTGTTTGTGTGAAGTATCTTCCTGTGTACACTGTCCCAGAAGAAGAAAGATTCCTTGTAAAGCGGATTGGCCCAAAGAGTTTCCACATGTTCCGTTGCGTTGCAAGATACGGTTACAAAGATCTCCACAAGAAAGATGATGACTTTGAGAAAAAACTCTTTGATAACCTTTTCATGTTTGTCCGGCTCGAGTCCATGATGGAGGGGTGTTCAGACTCGGATGAGTACAGTATATATGGCCAGCAAACTGAGAGGTCAAGGGAAGGCCTAATAAATAATAATGACAACACAATTGGATCGACTGCAGACCTTACTATCTCATCAGTGGACTCAATTGTGCCTGCTAAATCTCCATTGCATGCAAACAATACTATGAGTTCATCCAGTCAACTGAGCATGCAGAATGAGATTGATGAGCTAGAATTTTTGAATAATTGTAGAGATGCTGGGGTGGTGCATATACTTGGGAACACGGTTGTGAGAGCAAGGAGGGATTCCAGGTTCTACAAAAAGATAGCTGTTGATTACATTTATGCATTTCTTAGAAAAGTTTGCAGGGAGCACAGTGTGATCTTCAATGTTCCTCATGAGAGTCTTTTGAATGTTGGACAGATTTTCTATGTGTAAATTTTCTGTCTATCGTCAATGAAACTTATATCATACTGTAAATGCCGATTGTTTTTCACTCTTCTTGCATTTTAAATCATATTAGGAATGCAATTAAAAAGTAAAGAAATGTTGAGAAAATCTTGACAAATGGGATATCTGTTTGTGCTACTCCTGTTGAACATGGGGAAATATATACGTTGGGGTAAATTTTCAATTTTATTATTATGAAATTTCCACCAAAAAACAAAAAAGAGACTTTAATATAGTTTTCAATTATTCTCTAGCTACATGGGCTGCTAAAGCCTAAAGAACCCATCTAGTAATCATCATAATTTGAATTTGGATAACACAATGGGCTGGTTGACAGATCCGACCCATTTGGATTTGGGTGAACCTAAACCAACAATATGTGGTCGCAGCCCAACCTTGTCCGCCAAAAACCTAGGCTGGACAGAAGGCCCAAAACCTGTTACAATGCAGCCCTAAGATTTTCAGGGCAATCCGGGCTCAACGTACATCTCTCTGCTTCCGCCACCTCAGCGCTGGGCAGCGACTGGCAGGTTATGGCTGGGACTCGTGACCGTTTTGCATGAATCCCTCCACCGTTTCAACAGTCTTACTTCTACTCCCTTCTTCTCTGCACTAAACAACACAAACACAGAAGTTTTTCAACGTTTCTCTCTCTGTTTGTGCAAAAGCTATGGCAGGAGGTATATATATATCATCCCTTCAACTTTTGTAGGTTTAATTTTTGTGGGTTCTTTTCAGACTGCTGATAACAATATGAATTCGGGTGCAGAACTTCCTGGGTTTTACTATGATGCGGAAAAGAACAGATACTTCCCCACCAAAGGTCCAATACCCGGCTCCCGTCGTGTGACTACTGCTGCTTCTTCTTCCAGCGCTCAAACACCGGCCCAGGTACACTAGTTGTCCTGCATTTGAACCCAAATTTTGTATATTTTCCCGGAGTTTTGCCTATTTTAAAGTTTGTATCTTTGTTATTTTTTTATGCTTCTCAGCTTAAATGAGCTCAGAATTGTTTCTATGGTATATGGGTTCTGGTTGAATTTGTATTTTACTGCAACTTCTTTTTCGGTTTGGGGGTGGATTGGGGAGTAAAATGTTGTGTTCCACTTGCTCTGGTGATGTTCGTTAGTTTCTTATTGTGAGTTTTTCATGTCACACTGACGGGATTTTCCTGACAATTGATCATTAGAATCGAGCTAATCTCATTCCTTGAAAAAAATTTGGCATGCTGAGAATTTTCTGTGTTACACATTAAAGTTGTTATCTTTTTATGTATGGAGTGGTAAGCAGCGTAAAATCTCATGGTGATCAGGTACTCGTAGTGCAACTTTTTCTTTGGCCCTGGGTTAACATACTAATGACTTTCATCATAGATTTGCGTCCAGTGTTGTAAAGAAACTAGTGAATCCCTAAGCCTTTCTGTTGTATGTATTTTCGTATGGTATTACTTATTATTCACATAGATTTACAGCAGCTGTTTCTTCCTGTTAATCTGCATCTTAAATCCCTCCAGATTTATAGCTGCTGCTTATTCTTGGTTTTTATTTTTTTATTTTTTATTATTATTATTTTTTTAATGCTTTTAGTTAGGCTGGTTACTATATTTTCTAAAGGACTTTAATGCATGTTCTGATTCATCTTGTTATAGGCGAGCAATTCATGTAGGCGAACCAGAGTAAAACTTCTAAGCTGCTTCATGACAGTGAGTTATGTGGTAATCTCATCGCTTCCAGTAAAGGAAGGTGTAACTTTTATGAGGAATTCCAAAAGGCGCAAGTATCCCATCCTGTGGTATGTTTGATTTACTATAAGGCTTCATTCTAGGATTTTAAGTTCAGTTTTCCAGTTATGTTCAAATTTAGCCCATTATGATTCCAGCAATTTTTTTTTTGGGTTTTACTTTCTGCTTGATTGTTTATTACCCATATCTGATATTGCAGGTTGTAATTTATGTTCTGCAGGAAATTTATAATTTTATTTTTATCTCAGTGTTCTATGAATTGCAGGTTTGGAAGTATCAGGGAACAAATCAGTTAGGTGATAGTGCTTTAGAGTGGATTCGCATGGATGTACAGACAGGAGAGGAACTAACTGATACGGACTTTGTATTAGCAGGTGGCGCTGATGGCTCTTTAAGGTAGAATAAATTTGCAGTCTGATGTAATTTTGCATGCATATTTTCTTGTTTTAATAATGTTTGATATGTTAAAATTTGTGATAAATTGATAATAGTTTTGGAATAAGATATGGTAGCATGAATAAGTGGTTGTGTATAGGGTTTCGAGACTTTGAAAATGGATCTGTTCTGTCAGAATAGTATGAGAACTTGTGCCGTATTTAGTTTTTTAGTTCTAAATAAATAGCATTAATGCGCTAGGGCTACTGCATAATGGGGGTTGCTTTAAGACATGTATTCAGGTACTCATGTATTGAAGTAAAAAAGAACCATGCATGTACAAATATAAATTCTACTACTTTCCTACTGTAGAATAAAAACAGAAGGAAGTGGTTTTGTTTCATTTTGGAGACATATGAAACAACAGAACAAAGTAGAAACCGCTCCACCTTTTGTATAGGAGCGAACTGTAGGAAATTGTCAGATGTCATTATTTCTCTAAACAGCCTGCAATCCATTTATCATGTGATAAACACAAGGTGTTGATTGGGGCCTTTATTTAAGAAGATTTTCTAATACGTTTTGTTTGAGGTATTGAAGAATTAACATAGTGTGTCTTATTGTATACGGTATTTAAGCATGTCTGAGCATGCATGTTGGGTGACAGCATTGAACATTTTTTGGTTGATTTTTGAGATTCACATATCTAGTTTCGACACGACAGTTCACATGTCAATCTGGAATGGTTCCTTTGATGGAAAGGTTTAAGAGAGTTTCTCTCCTTTCCTTTCCCTCCCAGTTTTGCTTGGAAGTATTAGCTTCAGTTGGAATTTGGATTTGGATGTCTTACTTAAGTATCCTAGATCTCCCCAACTAGTGGCTCTTGTGGGACCTAGATATATGACAATATCCTTTCCTTTATGCCATGGCATCCTCACTGAAAGAGGAATAAATGATGGCCCTTAGTAATGCAGAACACAAGCATTTACCTGCTGATAATACGTACTATCAGGTAGTGAGAAGGGCAGCGCCCTTTCCCTCACCATAAGGAGCAGTTGTGATAACCACGGTCTTTAAGGGACATATGGGAAATGAGCTGACTTGGCTGGCTCTGATACTACTTTAAAGACTTCTTAAAAAGCTGCAAACCAAAGCTCATAGCATTCCTTCAATTGGCCCCTTCTTTAGAGAATTTTTTTCTTTTGTGAGGATATGAATCCTCCCAAATTGTAACATGTGTACAATGCTAAATCCTAAACCCTAAACCCAGTGTCTTATAATTCAAGTGGATTCATAACACCACATGGCCGTCACAGACAATAATCTTTTCCTTCTCCACCTGTCTATCTATTAGCTTACTAATGCTAGTGTTACTATCAATATATGTTATTGTATTACTAGCATTGGTGTTAGCATTGACATAATTCTCTACTACAAACATCTTTTTCCGTGACATTTGGGCCTTTGGTTTCTGTTGATAACTAAGCTTTTCTGTTAGCGCTGACGTGGTCCTAAGTGATTTCATTCCACCATGGGCTTGTCAACAAGTACTTTCAACAATTTTCCATTGTGAGATGAGGCCCTGCTGAGTACTTTGACCCCACAAAATCCGTGCTCCTTACTTCCAGTGCTCTTGCTGATTTATGGCACTAATGTCTCCTAGACTCTGAGATTGGTCAATGATACTGTTTGTAGTACATATAGTGTGGAAATGCCACGCACTCTTAGTTCTTCTTTTTGCTGTTTTGAAAAGCACCATCTCAAATTCTCTTTACGTGCATCATGTTTTAGAGTGGTTTATATATTTATTTCTAGTTTTTTGTTTTTTTTCCAATGATAGTTTCAATTTCTGTCTTAATCTGCTTGTTACTATGATATGAGTATCGGTGTTTATTTGCATTACACGTGTCTTTTGGAATTCTTATCCTATGGTTCTTGGCATCTCTATTTCCAAATAAGTTATTACTAATCTCTCTGAAATATGATGCTTTTGCAGTATTTTTGAAGTTGGGAAAGTTGGGCTGGGTCTTGAGTATGGGATGAAATGTAAGGCAGATCGTGTCTGGCCACTGTTGAACGAAAGTCAACTAGAGTGTAGTGAAGTGCCTGGGCACATATGGAGACCAGCTCAAGCTACACCACGAATGCCATCGAATATATCTCGTATAAAATTGTTTGGAAAGCAGTCTCCTGGCACAGAAGATGAAAGTTCACGCACTCAGCATATGTTGTATCCTTTCATACATTATCAGACTTCTTCTTCTTACGGTTTAATATAGAATACAAGTTTGATGCTTGTGCACGCACACATGTAGTTGTTGGACTTAAAACTCTTACAATACTTTCTAGACCTTCTTAGCTTATCCAAAAAAGTTTCCAGTATGTATCTTATTGAAGAAAAAACTAATCTTTAACCTTGTTGAACTACTAAATTTTAATCCAAATAGGCTTGTCTTAAAGGCGAAACATTTATGAGATTGTAACTTTCAACTGCACTATTTGGACTGCAGATTGTGAACCTGATGGGAGTCGTGCAGTGATTGGTAAGTACTATTTCCTTTTTATATCATTATATTTTAAACTGTGTTAGTCATGATTCATGGTAGCTTTAATGTTCTCTTATTTGCGGGTTAATAAAATATGATCCTCTGGCTTGAAAAATTTAGTGCATGCACACACAGAGTTCTTGGATATGATACCCAAAATTCAATACTAGCACTCTTATACCGTTACTTTGTCTGTTTGAATTTTGATCAAACATAATAATCTGATGACCCTATATTCACCTTTTTTCTTTGACCATAATTACCATTCCCAATTATACATATTCCTGTGGTCCAGATGTTTGCACAACAAAGAACTATTGGACTTCAACTTTACCGTATCATTAAACTTACCGTGTTTGGACCAGGATGGAACTATAAGGACTTTGGGACAATTTTGTAATTTTAAAAAAGTACCAAGGACTATATTGCAATTACTGGAGATTTCAAGGCCTTTTTAAAATTAATGAAAAGTGGAAGGATTGAAAAGTAATTTGGATAAAATTAAAGGACCAAACGACAATTTAAAAGAAATTTAAGGGCCAAAGTACGAATAAATGTTATATATTAAATATTTAGATAATATTTAATGCCCAAATCAAATTTAAAGCTCAATTGGCTTTTACTTGGCCCAACTTCCAATTACTAAGTATGTGACAACTACAATTATAAAGATTCGCTTTTTCTTTTTTCTACCAATGTGGGACAAAAGTCTGTGAACTTCATTCAAACTTCCAATAAATCCTTAAAACATATACTTTAAATATAAGGAGTTATCAAATCCAATCCAATACTAGTCATTAAACGAGACCTAATAGCTAGTTTAAGCCTCAACTAATTAAATATAAAGTTCGGTTGGACTTTTTTTTTTCCACCATTCAAATTTTCTTGTCAACTTCTAGAATCAAATTGAAAGAGTATTTACATTTTATAAATTACTCTTAGTATTACTTAATGAGTAAAGCCACAACAATCCTTTAAACTAGTCTATTACTTTTATGAAACAATCTTATTTTCCTTCATATATAACCAACTTCATCTCAAGAAAAGCTAAATGATGCAAGAATCGGGTTATACTATTTTTAGCTCTAGTGGCGCAGCTATGCATTTTATATATTCGAACATTTAAATAGTATAGCCGTGCAGCTATACTTGTTCCTATACCATTGTTTTATTTTTATTTTTAATATAGTATACAATTTTTTTTTAAATTTTTAAGTATAGTATAGCTGAGCGGCTATACTATTTTTCATTTTTTTTTATGTATAGCCGCCCGACGATATGTTTTAAATATATATGAATATTTAAATAGTATAGCCGAGCGTCAAATAAGCTTATTTGAGGGACACCCTTGTAGGGTCCACTCTGTATTGTATTTCACTAATCCAAACTGTCGATTTTGTAGATACTCATTCAAATATCATTTTTATAAAAAAAATCACTTGAATCCGATATCATTTGATCACTCAATTGAATTATTGAAATTTTAGTACTTTATTAAAGAACCGTGTTCATAGATTTTGCAGAACACAATTGGATATCAAAACAGTTTCCGATTTGTCTAATTTTTTTCTACAAGGATGATCTATGAATGTGGACTTAAAAAATATATGATTTTGATTGTTGAAAAAATATTTGTAGGAGACCCTAAAAGGTGCCTCTTAAATAAATTATCTAAAGTATCCCTCAATAACAGGGATATATATATATATATATTTATAGTCCCTTTCAGTTGAGGGATCCCTCAAATAGTGTTATTTGAGGAATGAGGTGCTCAACCATTAGATCTCTTTTAATGAGCTTGTGTGGTTGAGATTGATTCAAACGTTTGATGATTAAAACAGATTTGTTCACCTGTTTTACTATGATAAGGAAACATGTGCGATATATATATATATATATATATATATATATATTGGTCAGGATCAAGGGACACACAAAAAGCCATAAAATTTGACACACTTTTGAAACATTTAGGGGGGTATATTCAATTAGGATTCAAAAGCGTTTAAAAAGATTTTAAAAATCCAAGTAAAACCTATAGGAGTTATACAATTCCAGGAAATCTGTCACTTAAAAAAATCTTATACAATCCTAATTGAATACACCCCCCTTAGATCTGACCACTTTCAACAATTGAGATGAATGCTAACATAACTTTTTCACTTTAAGAAATATAAAACAAAATACTACTACTTTTTCGTGAAGATGAATTTATGTTCTCAAAACTTCTCTTTCCTCTTTTGATCTTCCGTTTCCCTCTCCTTCGTAGTTTTTTTGTTTTTGTTTTTTTTGTTTGGCCAAGATCTATCTTCTTCATTGAAGCAAGTCATTTTTCTCCTCTGCAACTCTCCTTCCAATTCTCATAGAAAAGGAGTAAGTTGTCTTATTCTTTGAACCTTTATTTTGACTAAGGGAATATTTTCACCTACTCAGACTTTTTGAGTTTGATACTTTTGGATCGAACCTGCTAAAAAAATGGAGTCGTTTTGGCCATTCATTATTTTGGCTTCCAACTTTATAACCATCCAACCAAAATTCGATTTGAACCAACTCATATTGTAATTTGTAACAAGAGACATGATGAGAGAAGAAATTTTGATACAGTAAATGGTAAAGTAATAAATCCTCTCAACAATTCGAACCCAAAGGATTCTCATTTTAATGGGTTCCATGTCGAGTGGAACGATCTCAAATTAAACTTGGTCTGGGATATATGCTAGAGACTAGGGGATGTATTGATAGCTTGTAAATCACAACAATGGTAATATTTCCCCTTCAACACCAAACGTCGGCTCTTATTGAGGAGAAAGTCGTAGGTGAGGCGGCTCGATCATGTCATCCGTGTGTCTACTCTCACACCTCTGCATCACACCCGACCCGATAAGTATAGCCTGTGAATTATGCATAAGATTGTTGGGAAATAGACATGAAATCAAATTAAAGAAGAGAGATAATCGGAAAAAAAATTAAGAATGAGCGAGAGGGAGGAGTTTTAGAAGTCTCTGTTTATTGCTGAACTCTAAACCCTAAACCATCCTAGAATACTATCCCAATACAGAAAGGAAAGTAATTATTACAGCACATGGCGAAGGAAAGAATCTTAAAACTTGTACAACAAACAAACCCTTCTTTTACTAGGTCAACAACTGTCTCTCCTAGAGAGGATGGGATGGATAGAATTCAAAGGAAGAAAGAAATTGCAGGTAAATAAAAGTAATGAAATCTTCCGACAGATTCTCTTTAATAATTGTGACTCCATATAAAAATAGGATATCCCCACCCACACCCTATAAAAATATCTTCCCCCCCACCCCTCAACCCAAAACACCCACATCTCACAAAATTATTCATCATGAAGCCAGTGCCAGTACGAATCATCTCACCTCTGAAAGCATGCCGCGGCAGCCACTTGAATGTCATGGGCGCCGGACTCACAAGATTAATGGCGTCTCCTCCTCCTCCAGAGCTACCACTGCTAGAATCACCACCCCCCTCACCCTCAACAACAACAACAGACCACCACATTAACCACCCCTGCCTTGATCTGTGTTTCAACGTCTACCATCGGGACAACCCGGCCAAAGCAGAGGCCAACCACAGGTATCTGAAGCAACTCCTCCCGGTTGCCTGGTCCCACAATCCCTTAACCACCCTCAAGCTCATCTGCAACCTCTTAGACAGGCGTTCAGGTTCAATAACAGATGCCGAAGCCTTCTACAAGGCGGCGTTTTGGCTCCACCACAACCACCCCAAGACCCTCGCCTCCAACCTCCTGCCTATTGCCGCCTGGTTCGGATATGGTGGTGGTATGAGAGACCTTGTGCGGATTCTCCACCGGATTCTTGCAGGCCAAGACGAGGTCGATGACGAGATGATGTTCGCCATGGCTGACAAGGTGGCTGTCGAGAGGTACGAGACTGACCCCGATTATCGCTTGTTACACGAACTCGTTTCGGATATTTTCGCCCACTGCCTCAACCGTGATTTTCAACTTCTGAAGAAGGGGATGCAAATGGATGATAGTATTAATGTTGATGATCATGATAATGATAAGTCCTCTTCTAATAAGTGCTTCGAGATCACTAATGCCGCCGATTGGCTCGACCATCGAGCCACTTTCCTGTTGGAGAGCGTTGCGAGGAAGGTTTTCCAGCATCGACACCCACAAAGAGATGTTAAGGAGGAGGAGGAGGAGGAGCAGGCTGGTTATGCCTACAGACTCCGAGAGCGGCTGATGAAGGAGGTTGTGGAGCCCTTGAGGAAGATGACTGCCTCGGACTATGACATTGCACTTAATAAACCTCCCGACTGCAACAGGTGGGGTTATGATTGCAAGTTTGATGAAGACGACTGCGTGTCTCGGATATATTTGGAGGAATTGAAAGCTGCAGCTTCCAAGATTGAGAACCCTGCGGCTCTGCTTCCACATCAGATCATATGCTATGTGAATGATGAGGATCTCGGGCAAGTGGCTGAGCTTCAGTGGAACGCAATGCTGGGGGACATGATCAAGGGCACAGGCACATGCAAAGTTAAGAAGAAGAAGAAGAAGAAGAATTTGAATAACAGCTTGGCTGTTTGTGATGTCTGCCCCTCAAGAATGAGTGGATTTCCCATTGATGTATCGGTGGGCTTGGGACTGTTAGTGTCTGAACTGAGTGAAGAGCAGGCATGGAAAGGAAAGGTGATCAACTTCAGCCGAAACCCCCGACTGCATTGCATACCACAAGGCGATAGCCTCAAGGCCAAGTGCGACTTTTTGAGGAGGATGGACTGCCCGGACCTGAAGGGAGAGGTTGATATTCAAAAGGTGTTTGATTTGATTCTACAAGTTGCTGTGCATGGGAATTTGAAGCCGGAACAAATGATCAACAAGGTATTTGTGATCACCACCTACTTACACTATGACGAGGCTTGGGCACATCCATGGCAGAGTGATTATGAGGCAATACAGAGCAAGTTCAAGGAAAAAGGGTACGGGGATGTGGTACCACAGATAGAGTTTTTGGATGTGATCGACTCCTCCTACTTCGAGAACCACAAGTTGGTCAAGTGGTTCTTGGACACTGATGGGGAAATCATGGAAAGGGATCCCGAACAAATCATGGAAGCAGAAATCTCCCCCCTAGCCTATCAATCTCTGGTTGTAGTGGACTGATCGACTCACTCATTCAAGCCAATGGCTAACCCTATCCAACTATAGATCATCATCATCTGTCTGTTTTAATTTTTTTTGGTCAAATGATAGCTAGCAAAGTTCATTCATTAAACTAGTAACCAATTTTAATTTAGTGCCTCTTATAGCAACAGGGAAAGAAAGAGGTAGCAAACAATTAGTGAGTGAGTGAGTCGATCATTTTGCAGAAGGCAGTTTAACATCGATCAGCTGCTCCTGTCTTTTTTAAAGTCAAATCAAGTAAAGGTTTCAAAGTATTTTAGTTCTAAATAATATGTATTGCATATTCTAAACAATGATTAATTATTCTAATGATGATATATACTTTTCCTTTTTACTTTTCTGTTGAAAGGAATAATAAATTAGAGAAAATTATCTCATTTAGTGTAAAATCAAAGCATACTCAGCAGTAGATATCTAATAGTTATTATTCCTGGTTCTCCTTAATCTGACAATTGCAAGAACACAATAACATCATTTTATCACGAGAAATCCAAGGAAACCAGCCAAAACTGGAGGCACTTCTGATTCATCACTAAGTTCAGCATCATCAATCTCCGCAGCTGTATCCCAATCAATCTTCAGTCTCTTAGCAGCCTCTTGAAGATCAAGACCAGTGTCTGTCACTCTTGCGATAGGGACTTCCCAGGCTTTTTCTTCGCTGGTTTAATCTGAACCTATACCAGAAAAAATCATGTAGGAACAACTGAGCAAATTGATTTCCAGTGTCGGTTAGAAACTTAGATAAACATGAAAAAGCAGTGGTGAGCCATCTCATGAAAAGAATTACTTGATAATAGCCCTATCCCTATAGGAACATTCCATGAATTAAGACAAACATGGAAAGCCAATCAATTATGATCATCTATCCATTGCACATTAACAAGCATCTCTAAAATAAGTCATTATTATACTTGAATTACAATACTACCTCTAGATTAGGCCAGCAGGTTAAGAGCAAGTCGATTTCTTGGGATTTTTCCATCATTCACTTAAATCAATAATCCCATAATAGCGTCCAAATAAATATAATTAATTTTCCAATTTGTAACAATTTACAGATGCCAAAGAAATTTTTTTCCTTTCTCTTATGATTTTAGAAGGCTATAAAAAACAAAGCAAAAAGTTGTAATGACATAACATGCACTTTATTCCAATTATTGTCGCTCAACAATCATTTTATACTTTTGAACTTATCTTCATCATTATACTAGAGATGCCAAGGCTTTTATCCAACCATTATCAGTATGAATCTCTTTTTCTCACTCTTACATAAGCTATTATTGAATTGACAACTTGATTGCATAGTTCCCACTTGAGAGAGAGAGAGAGAGAGAGAATTTAACAAGGAACAGCTGATAATATACTTTTTGTAACAAAAAAAAGTTTGATATTAACACTCAAGATTGAGCTATGATACCCACAATTCCGTGCTAATCAGTTGTTACAGGTCCACTAGTATGTGAACTAGCTCTGTTTATTCTTTACAGGGAATGTATTGCTTCCTTAGTTGCTGATTAACTTCTACAATTAATAATCTTACAACTTCGCCAACACTTGCCAACTTATTTTTGAATAGCATATCTCTAACTACAGGAATCTTGAAAAACAAGAAAATATATCAAGAAAGGAAATTTTTTACTACATTAATCTTAAAAATTCCAACAAGTTATCTGTCTCTTTGACTGCAATACTGGATGGGCTGCACATATAAGATGGACTTGTGTGGCATTTGCATGTTCACATGATCTTCTCATAGTTAATACTTTCTTCTTAATATCAGGTTCCAGAATGCATAGATAAACTTGCCCAAGCAGGGATTAAAATATGGCTGCTCACTGTTTCTATTTCCTCCATACTACTAGTCAGGTCGGCTTTGCTCCTAGTGCCTGGAATCAGGGTCAGATCACTGATTCAATCACCAGGCATATGGAATGAGCAAAACCTCCAAAACGAGCATATTCTTTCTATCATAATTGACTAAATTTGGTCTAAAAAAATTACTAAGGAGAACATTTTCAGACTTTCAATTCTGTAGATGCCACAAGTATAACACCCAGATCATGTCTATCAGACAACAGGTATTTAGTTATCTCACAGGTAGAAATAATTAATACTAAACTTTTCAGCCTATAGCGCAATGCAGAGTAAATAACTGCTACTAGAAAACACCAGCAACAAAATCTGTGTTAACAAGCGCAACGCAGAGCAAATAAACCAACAGCTCTTGCAGCAACCTAAGCGAAAATTAACAAAAATATCATTCACACCTACAACTGCAACACAACTAACCAGCAATGCAGCAAATACCGCAACAACTCAACATAGAGCTTACATGGGAAGTAAAAAGAATTTAAACTGAAAATACTGCAACCATGTGGAATTACACCCTAAACAAAAAGCTAGAAATTAAATCCTAAAACAAAATAATAATAATAATAATAATTTGAAAATTTAAGTTTTAAAGAAGAATACCTTCTAGCCCTTCGGTGGGAACAGCTGAAACTGTAAGAGTGAGTGATGGACTGACTGATTGAGGTGAGATTGTCTGAAGAAGAAGAAGAAGAACCGAAGCAAGAGAAGGGAGGAGGAAAGGGAAGAGAAGGGGAGGGTTTGGGTTCAGGAAAGTGGGCCGGGCTGGTCTGAGCTTCGGAGGTGAAGAAATGGGCTCAGCTGGGGGACTACGGTGTTCTTCGAACTAGGGGTGGTTGCGGTTCGGTAACCGCGAATTTTTACTCAAACCGCAAACCGACCGATTATTTGAGGTTTGGTGATTTTTGAAACCGCAAACCGACCGCGTTTAGCGGTTTAAAACCGCAAGTTCTCAAGCATTCACAAAAATATAAATTCACAACCTAAATAAATAAATATACAACCTCAATTTCTCAAGCATATATAAATTCACAATCTCCTCAACTTCTCAAGCATTCACAACCTAAGAAAATTAAAGTTACAATTCCAAGCATTCCAATTAAAGTTAAACTTCTCAAGCATTCCAATTCCAAATCCTTTAAAGTTATAAACCAAAAGGAAAATGCAAAGCAAAATGAATTAAAGTTACAACCAAAAAGAAAAATCCAATTCAAAGTTAATTAAAGTTACAAACTAAAAGGAAAATGCAATGCACCAATGTTACAAACTAAAGTTACAAACTCAAATGTTGGTGGTGAGTGGATTTGAAGAACCCCGTTGTGTTGTTTGAGCATCAATGTTATCTACAAATAAAACAACATAGTTTAGTACATTTTATTATAAGAAGAAGCATAAATAACATTAGCATAAATACACTAATTACTTACAAGTTGTCATATGTTCTATTTCCTTGTAGAATTCAACTTCATCATCCGTGCGGCTATACTTTGCAGTTTGCGGTAACCGCAAGTTTTGAAAATCAAATACCGCAACCGCAACCGCAAATGCGGTTCGGTTCTTAATACCACAAATGCGGTTCGGTTTACCGCGATTGCGGTTTCATTGCGGTAAATTATCGGTTGGTTTTTGCGGTTTTTCGGTTTTTCGGTTTAAAATGCCACCCCTACTTCGAACTAGTGTTTATGGTTAGCATAATCTTTGGTATATCATGTTTTAATTGTTAGATTAGTTTTAACAATTTTTTTTATAAAAAAATATAAGTTATAGTTAACTATAGTTATGCTTATGGACACATATAAAGTATTGAGAATTGTGACAAGAATACATATTGGGTTAAAGTGGTGAGGAAAAATATTTCATATAAATATTAGTATGTCAAATATCATCAATTTTAATGGATGATGATGAGTATTAACACCACCTTAATTTACGTTTGATGATTGAAGAGTGTGATTTACTCTAAGGATCCAGATCCTATGCTATGATTTTCTCTACCATGATATGTTTTACTTTCGTTCTCCACATGACACTTCATTAAAATTTCATTTAAGGGATGTAAGCTAGATACATCATCCACAAAATAAAAACCCAATTTACACTTAATTAAAAAAATGAAAATAAATCACCCTAATTTGACTAACTCCAATTACTCCAACTTACCGTCTCTGACATGTCTAACTGTTCTTTTTTCCTTCTTCTTTTCCCTTCTCTGCATGTTCTCCATATGTTCCTTCCCCAATTCTTTTTCTCTCTCTAATTTTCCTTCTACAATTTACGAGACTGTCTTGTTTTTGTACTAAAACTCTTTTTACATTTGTTTTTTGGTGTTAAATATTAAGATATTAACCATGGAAGTAGGTCGAGATAAGATGATCAAACTCCGGGCAAATAAGATCAGGGCTTCATGCACCCAAACAACTTCAAGATGTTGACATGAGTCTCCTAATTAAAAGGAAATTTATTTCCTTGATTAATTAAGGGATTTACTTTCTTATTTTATATAGTTGACAAATCATTATATAATTAGGAGATACTATCTTAATTCATTATTGTATCTATTTTCTTGTAAAACACTAATATAAAGTCTTATATATACCTCCTTATGGAGAAGAATAAAATTTAACCTAAATTATTCAAACCATATTCATATTAGCATGGTATCAGAGTAATCGATCCTATGTTGTCTCTAAACCTTCATATTAAATTTCTCATATTCAAATCCAAAACCCTAAATCAAATTCCTCATATTTCAATTCCTCTTATCAAAATCCGTAAACACATACCCTCAAATCTTATATACATACCTCTCAAATCAAATCCTCTTATCAAATTCCTACATCAAATTCATACGTAATATTCAACAAATCACATTCCACCAATCAAATTCCTCACATTCTTATATCACATCTTACTTCCGCTGCGATGTCAGGATCCCCGACGATTCTCTCATTTATTGCATACTCACAGAAGCATGCAGTCAATCCTGCTAACTCGGCTACCCGGACTCGTGCTTCTATCACCACCACCAAAGGTTCTGCTTTTCATACGTCCTTTCAAAAATCTGCATGGATTATTGACTCGGGTGCTACAAATCACATGACATTTGATCCTGGCCAACTTATTAGTCGCAAATCATCCACTTCGTCGATGGTGTCTAATGTTAATGGTACCCCTTCCCCTGTGGTTAGGGACCGCTCTCTATCACTCTCTACTTCCCTACATCTGGATTCTGTTTTACTTGTTCCATCTTTAGACCATAATTTTTTGTCTGTTGCACAACTTACTACTACTATGGGGTGTACTGTAACATTTTGGTCAAATCACTGTGTTTTTCAAGACATCCTTACGGGAAAGACGATTGGTTGTGGTACTCAGCAGGGCAAACTCTACTACTTGGACTGGCCACTGGATAGTGAGACCAAGATTTGTCAAGCTTTCACAACGAGTGGAACTCGTTTTGAGACGGAGAGAGACAAAGTTTAGTTATGGCATAAACGTCTTAGGCATGCCTCGTTTGGTTTTCTTAAGAAGTTGTTTTCATCATTATTTTCCAGTCTTGATGTTTCCAGCTTCCAGTGTGATACGTGTGAATTGGCTAAGAGCCATCGTATCTCGTTCCCATTAAGTTCAAATAAGAGTTTGGTTCTGTTTTCTCTTGTTCGTTCTGATGTTTGGGGATCTACTAAAATTGCCACTCTGGCAAGAGCTTGATGGTTTGTCACGTTTATAGATGATTGCACACGTATGACTCGGGTTTCCCTTCTCAAAACTAAAGGGGAAGTCAGTTCCAGGTTTCAACAGTTCTATCAAATGGTGAAGACTCAGTTTGACATAACTCGACCCAAATTCCACTTTGGAATCTGCGCTGAACCATGTGCGTGTCCGACACCTAGCAGGTGCCGGGCACACTTAACCAAATTGCCCATCTAAGACTCACAATTTCTTTTTTAGGTTTGATTTCTGCAGAAAATTCGCCAAAGTCTCCTCTGTTAATTGCTCGTTTCCCAAAAAATTTCACATGTACAAAATTCAATTCAAATATCCACAATTGTTCAGTATGCACAAGGTTAGAATTCACGCAATCCGACGTCCAATCTTTGTGGCTTCAGGCCTTACAAAAAACCCTAGGGCAATTTTAGAGCATGCTAATTAATCAAGGAGATTTATTTCCTTGATTAATTAAGGGATTTACTTTCTTATTTTATATAGTTGACAAATCATTGTATAATTAGGAGATACTATCCTAATTCATTACTGTATCTATTTTCTTGTAAAGCATATAAACTCTTATATATACTTTCTTATGGAAAGGAATAAAACTTAACATAAAGTATTCAAACACATTCATATTTTAGCACAAGCAATCCAAGAAAAATGAAAAGAATTATGAATGCCAACCTTAACCCAAAACCCAACATGAAAATTAAATTAAATGAATTGCTTAAAAACATAAAAGAAACCAAATATAGTAAAGAAAGGAGTTCCTTAAATATATGCTTTAAACATAAGGAGTTATCCAATCCAATCCAATACTAGTCATCAAACGAGAACTAACTGCTAGTTTAAGCCCTAACTAATTAAATATACAGTTCGGTTGGACTTTTTTTTTCTTTTTTTTTTCTCTACCGTTCAAAATTTCTTGTCGATTTCTAAAATCAAATTGAAAGATTATTATGTTTTATAAATTACTCTTAGTATTACTTAATGAGTAAAGCCACAACAATCTTTTAAACTAGTCTATTAGTTTTATGAAAAAATCTTATTTTCCTTTATATATAACCAACTTCATCTCAAGAAAGGCCAAAAGATGCAAGAATCGGGTTTTCTTTGAAGTTTGGGAAAAAAATGTAAAAAACAATGGTATGGCCAACCGGCTATACGGCTATACTATTTTTATTTTTGTTTTAAAATATAGTCGTGCGGTTACACTATTTTTAACTTTTATTTCTAAGTAGCGGTGCGGCTACGCGTTTTAAATATGGGTGATTTTATTGGCACCCCATTATTTGCTCTTCGTGCCCTATACTAATTTTAAATATAAATAACATATTTTACCCTTATACATAATTATCGTTAAGAACAAAAAACATATAAAATAAAAATTAAATTTGCTCACTACACCCCACATATGTTCCTGCAACCCTAGTTAGACTTTTTTTTTTTTCTTAAACCATCATATTCCTACAACCCTAACAAGGTTTATATGCTTATATTGGTGAAAAAATATATTGTATTTATTCATGAAGGGTGAGACTGAAGTTAGAGAGGCTTTGAATGAGGCATGAGTTTATTTTTTGGCATTTTTCAAGTTTAGGATTTCATTATGGTCACCGGTTACGTTCAACACACCAGTGCTGAATGCGATAGATAAATTCGGTGGAATGTCATTGAAGCATTACACCTATTTTGATTGTGTTTGACCGACCATTAACTTAAAATGCAATAGAGATCCATAACATGGAAAGATGTTTGATGGTGTACTACCGAATTTTTACCTACAATTCAGTGGCAACGAACCGAAATATATTTATTTTTTCAGTAACTTATTGTCAACCACAAATTTAATGTAAGTTATTTTGACCTTACTCCCATTGATGGAACAAAAACAAAGTGACACCCTTAAAATAGATGACACATCACCCAATGTGATGGTCATCTCACCAAAAGATGAAAGTTGTTCGTTTCGGGATGCCTCCTCTCAACAAAGGTATATACAACAATCTTATCTGCATTTCGATGAGAACACCTTATCCCACCAATTCCTCTAACGAAGGGTAGATTCCTTTTACATGCACCTAAGGTGATCATGTGTCACGCCTCGGACCCGAGGGTCGGAGGAAACCCCGCGCCTAGCGCGTGAGAAAATAAAAAGTAAAACAAAATAAATAGAATGCCGAAACATGAGTTTAAAATAAACTTCTCTTATAAAAAAAAAATAAATAAAATAGATCCAAAATCTTACAACTTTACAATAAAAATAGCTCTAACACTCTCATCTAATTCAACCTCAACTAGTTTAGTCCTTGTCTTGCCCACTAATTCATCTGAAAAAATTAAACAGAGTGAGGGATGAGCAACCACCGCTCAGTAGGGACATGAGACCTTACCACAGTAGATTGATATAACTAAATTAAGTGACAAGCAATCACACAACCAAATATCACATTAATAATAATAATATATAATAATAATGCATGAATGCTCTTCATCTAATCCCGTTAATTCATATAACTGGACAAGCAGACCTGCACGTCCCATACCATGCTTATACCACTTGGTCCTGAATGCCCATTTATACGAACTAACACCCATTTCAATCATCCCATAATTCCCCTTTTGTTAGTCATCTTGTTTACCCTTTCGCCAGTCCCGAATCACCCAATAAAACCATGTGTACTGTGGGATCCCTGAGACTTGGTACCTGCCAAAAGTTAGACTCAACTGCACAAAAGACTATATCCATTACCCTCTTTTCCATAATTATCTTCTCCACCCAACAACTCCAACCAATTACATAGACATGATAGAATTATGCCAACATTATTCAAATAGTTCACAATACATAAATATAATATATCAAGAACATTATACAATATCAAGAACACCCATTATAATCGCACACATAATATAGAGCTCACGAAATTTAATTAAATCAATATTCGTAAAGACCCTCAAGAAATCCCTACCTCATTTCCAAAGCTAGCTCCAAGTTTAAGAAAATACACAAGCTAAGCCCTGTATCTCTCTCTCTCTCTCTCTCTCTCTCTCTCTTACCTGTTTATAGGTGGTGAGATGGCGGTAACAATGGAAAGGATAATAACAAAGGCCATTATCTTATCTATAAAAAGATAACTTGGTTGCCACTCTTTTATATAAGCTGATATGTGTCAACGCTAGGAGATATATTTCCAAAGGCTATGCCACCTATTGAACTTATAAACTCCTCAAGCTAAGATAAAGCCTAGTCACCAAATTGTAAGCATGAGCTGTCCAAATGCATGGTAATGCATCAACCAATTTAATGGAAAAAGCCACCTCCAGCATACTAATTTAAATATATCTCCAAATTAAGATAAGAGAGAACAATCTTTCTCTCCAAGAAAACAATCTTTCTCTCCAAGAAAACAATGTAAGAATGCCATGTCTAAACTCTTAATCCATGTTATTAATATATATGTATATAATGCACCCAATAACCATCTAATAGCATTCAAGGAATAATGAACAAATATATAATTTAAACAAACCTTTTTTTATTCGAAAGAACATATGTATATAAACATACATATATACATATACATATACATATATAGATTTAATGAAATAATATTCATATAACTATTGAAATGGTATTATAAACATATACTTTTCCTTTTTACCAAGATAAGTACTTAAGAATAATAACATTTAAGAAAACGGACTCTCACATCATGTTCCTAGTTAAATACAAAAAAAATTATTTAAGTTAATTACCATGAACCAGACTTATATTCTGCTTTTTATTGTTATAGTAAAACGATTTACCTGGTTATTCCAAATTGTTATATTCTGGTATGGGGGACCATGCTAGGGTTGGTTCTCTTGAGTGACTAACCTTGCCACTTTATGTCTCCTCGTTGAGGTTGTCGGACGCTGTCCAGTAGGTCGAGATGTTGAAGCCTCAATAGTACTTATGCGAGTCCTCTTCATATCTAGAAAACAATATTAAGTACAAACTTAGTAACGAGTTCGGTAGATGATCACTGAAACAAGAAACAAATTCAGTAGGCTACCATTGAAAAACGGAAACAAATTCGGTGGACTACCACTAAAAAATTGAAACAGATTCGATGGATTACCACTGAAAAACGGAAACAAATTCAGTGGACTACCATTGAAACAAGGTAACGATTTTGGTGGGGTTTACACAGGTAAGTTAAGGAATGAGGTTCATGAGGGCAATTTAGGAAGGAAAATAAGGTGTAGTGAGTAATTTAAATTTTACTAAAATTCAATGGGGGTGTAAAGAGAATATGGGGTGCAAATAGAAAATTTTGGGGTGCCAATAAAATCACCCAAAACTAAAATATCATCTAGTAAGAACTACACTCCACTAAGACTACTCATCTGGGCCTTCACCCTGTTGCAGGTTAGGCCCAATTTGGGTAAAAATCTGTAGTCATATTTTTGGGAGGTTATTTATTTATTTATTCTTTTGCTTTAATTTGTTTTTTCTTGATTGAGAGATTTTATTGGCACCCCATTATTTGCTCTTTGCACCCCATACTAATTTTAAACATGAATAACCTATTTTACCCTTGTACATAATTACCGTTAAGGACAAAAAAATTTAAATTGCTCACTACACCCCACATATGTTCATGCAACTTTAGTTTGACTTTTTTTTCAAATCATCATGTTCCTACAACTCTAACGAGATTTATACGTTTATATTGGTGAAAAATATCTTGTATTTATTCATGAAGGGTGAGATTGAAGTTAGAAAGGCTTCGAATGAGGTATGAATTTATTTTTTAACATTTTGCGAGTTTAGTATTTCATGATGGGTGTTGGTTGCGTTCAGCACATCAGTACCGAACGCTATAGGTAAATTCGGTGGGATGCCACCGAAACGTTGCACCTATTTCGGTTGTGTTTGACCAGTCATGAAATTAATATGTGGTGGAGATTCACCGTAACATGGAACGTTGTTTAGTGGTTTATTACCAAAATTTTACTTGTGTTTTAGTGGCAACAAAAGGAAATTTATTTATTTTTTCATTAACTTATTGTCGACCACAAATTTAATGCAAGCTATTTTGATCTTACTCCCATTGAAGGAACAAAAACAAGGTGATGCCCTTACTGAAGGCAACAATATGGGAACAGAATGTGTAATAGACTATAGTGATCAATTCACAACTTATTCGGTAATTATTTTGAGTTTTTTTTGTCTGAAATCCTTTTTAGTATCATTAACGTGATATTAATGTTTCAAATTTTATCTTTAAATAACATGAGTTTTATGTGTAGATATTCAAATGGTAGAGATGCATTACTTAGATGGGCTCATGCACAAGAAAAAATGATAATTATCTTCCTGGTGTTATTGTCATCGATTGAGAGTTAGCAATCATAAATTCTATTACGTCTATATTTCCGAAAGCACGACATTTATTATGTAGATGACATATTAACAAAGGAGTGTTGGCAAACTGCAAGAAGTTATTTGGGACCCTCAAAAAATGGAAGCAATTTAATGAGGATTGGAATACTTTGGTTGGTTCAGAAACGGAGGAGGAATATTGGCGTTGTTTGCATACATGCCAGTTGGTTAAATCCATTTAAGGATAGGTTTGTGGCTGCATGGACAGACACTTGTATGCATCTTGCATCTTGGTTCGCCTCTCCCAACATGTGGTTCTCCTGATTGTCCCACATTTCTTCGACTTATATTCTACCTTCTATTGTCACAATAAAACGACTTACCTGGTTATTCCAAATTGCTAAAATATGAATATGGTTTGAATGTATTAGGTTTAATTTATTATTCTCCATAAGAAGGTATATATAAGAGTTTACATGTAGGCTTTATAAGGAATTATATACAGTAAATAATTAGGAAAGTATCTCCTAATTGTACAATGATTTATCACTTATATTAAAAATAGGAAAGTAAATCCTTTAATTAATCAAGGAAGTAAATCTCCTTGATTAATTAGGAGACTCACGTCAATACTCCTCCTCAAGTTGGTGCATATATGTCACCAATTCCCAACTTGGTAAGTGAGTCATGAAATACTCTTCCACAAATAGCTTTGGTTAAGATATCTGTAAGTTGATCTTCTGATTTTACGAATGGTAGGCGAGTGATCTTTTTCTCAATTTTTTCTTTGATAAAATGTCTATCCACCTCAACATGTTTGGTTCAATCATGTTGAATTGGATTATGGGCAATATCAATAGCTGACTTGTTGTCACAATGCAACTTCCTTGGCTTTTCTGGCTAGAAGCCCAATTCTGTCAAGACTCTTCTGATCCACAATAATTCACAAACTCCGTGAGCCATTCCTCGATACTCTGCTTCTACACTAGACTGAGAAACCACATTTTGCTTTTGACTATGCTAAGTGACTAGGTTACCTCCCACGAATGTAAAGTAACTTGAAGTAAAGCATCTATCTGTAATAGAACCAGCCCAATCAGCATCTGTGTATCCAACAACTTTAATATCTCCATTTTTTAGAACATTAATCCTTTCCCAGGGATTGACTTTAAGTATCTTAAGATCCGATCAACTACATTCCTATGAGAAACACTGGGCGAATGCATAAACTGACTAACCACACTTACAGCATATGCAATATCTGGTCTTGGAGGACGTATGAAAAGTAGAACCTTTGGTGGTGATGATAGAAGCAAGAGTCTGGGTAGCCAGGTCAACAGGATTGACCGCATGCTTCTGTGAGTCTGTAATAAGATGGAGAATCGTATAGGTTCCTGACATTGCAGCGGAAGTAAGATGAGATATGAGAAGGTGAGGAAGGTGATGTGAGAAATTTGATGTATGAATTTAATGTAGGAATTAGATTTAAGAGGTATGTGTATAAGATTTAAGGGTATGTGTTTATGGATTTGGATAAGAGGATTTGAGGACTCGTAGGAATTGGATTTAAGAGGTATGTGTATAAGATTTGAGGGTATGTGTTTAGGGATTTGGATAAGAGGATATGAGGACGTTAGATTTGAGGGATTTGGATTTGGGGAAAAATATGAGGAATTTGATTTAGGGTTTTGGATAAAAGGATTTGAGGACTTTAGATATGATGGATTTGGATTTGGGGAAAAAATATGAGGAATTTGATTTAGGCTTTTGGATTTGAATATGAGAAATTTGAGATAAGGGTTTAGACAAAACAACTTCTCTTCACTCCTCTTATCCCCTGTAGAGAAGGGGTCGTCAGAGTAAAGAGATATGCAGTATCTTCATGGAAATACGTAAAGGTAATGGGATATGTCAATAAACATATCATTTTCACTCCCGCTCCCCCCCTTGAAGAGGAGGGGAGGAGAGCACTTAAATTTCAAGAAGAACGCAAGCACAGGTCACAAGAGAACCTGGCTCTGATACCATGCTAAAATATGAATATGGTTTGAATGTATTAGGTTTAATTTATTCTTCTCCATAAGGAGGTATATATAATAGTTTACATGTAGGCTTTATAAGGAATTAGATACATTAAAGAATTAGGAATGTATCTCATAATTGTACAATGATTTATCACTTATATAAAAAATAGGAAAGTAAATCCCTTAATTAATCAAGGAAGTAAATTTCCTTGATTAATTAGGAGACTTACGTTAACACAAATTACAGCTGCTATGTGAGTTTTAAAACTCGTAAGTAAAGATGGATCAATGAGACCTACTCGAGATGGCTCAGTAGGCTCGACATGTACCTCAACATTACTATCATGAGTAGCAGGTACATCTTCAACCTCTGCGTCAACATTACTATCATGAGTAGGAGCTACATCTTCAACCTCTGTAGTATCCTCAAAGTGATCTTGAAAAGCCGCTCTTTGTCTCCTCGTTGAGGCTGTGAGACGTTGTCTATCAGGTCGAGATGATGAAGTCTCAGTAGTACCTCTACGAGTCCTCTTCATATCTAAAAAAACAATATTAAGTACACACTTAGTAAAAAATTCAGTAGATGATCACTAAAAAATAGAAACAAATTCGGTGGACTATCACTAAAAAAAGAAAACATATTCGGTGGAGTACCATTGAAAAACCGAAATACATTCTGTGGGCATCTCCTGAAAAATGGAAACAAATTTGGTGGACTACCACCGAAACAAGGTAACGATTTCGGTGTAACCCATCGAAAGTAAAATTAATTTTAGTACAGATCAGGTTCAAATTCGGTGGAATACTATTGAAGCAATGTAACCATTTCGGTGGTAATCCACCGAAACTAAAATCCAGTTTCTTAAAACAAGGTTCGAACCATACACCCACAAAGTTGAAATCAATAATTAAAATCAGACTTTGGCTTTTCAAAAGTGAAATCAAATCTAGGCTTAATCGACACTTAGAAACGTAAATATAAAATTGAAATCAAACCTTGGCTCTTCGAAGGATTTGTGAAAACTTGACAGATTGGTGATGGATGTTTGCTATGGCTGAGGCGACGGTGGTTTGCGACGGGGTGAGGCGTTTGGGGTTAGCTGTGGGGTGTGATGGCTCTGTTTTAGAGATGGGTTCGGGTTTGCAGAGATAGGTTGTGTGATGGCTCTGTTTCAAAGGGGATGAGGTGTGCAATGGAGCTTGTTGTAAATCTTATGGGGTGTGCGATGAGGTGTGTCTACATGAGGAGGGAATTTTGGATGGGGTGGGGCTTGATATGAGATGAGGTGAGGTTTGATATCAGATGGGGTGTGTCTGAAAGGGAAAAGGGTTTTCGATGGGTGGTATATGATATGAGATGAGGTTTACACAGTAAGTTAGGGAATGAGGTTCATGAGGGCAATTTAGGAAGAAAAATAGGGTATAGTGAGTAATTTGAAATTTTATTAAAATTCAGTGGGGGTGTAAAGAGATTATGGGGTGCAAAGAGCAAATAATGGGTTCATATATAATTTCCCTTCTTGATGTCAAAACATTTCTGTAGCACTTTTTTTATTATACGTAAATCACAAGTTGGGTGGCGTTGGGGTGTACGGGTTCAATGGAGTTCTGGGTTGTTCTTCGGTTTTGGTGTAGCACTCTGTATCCACTGATTTGAGATTTGGCACAAAGTTACACACAAACAAGAGAAGACAAGCAAACGAGAGAGAAGCAACACTATGAAAATCTATAAATGGCACATGATATGCGCACCATAAATAGGCAAGGCATCAACCACCTTACTATTGCCCTCCCGAAAAACATGAGACTTAAAAATTCCTGCCCCTCATCCTCCACAAACTGTTGTCCCAACCCACCAGCAAACACCAAGGAAAATCTGGGGTAAGAGAAAAAGCTAAGAAGGAAGAAGAAAAAAACCCAACTGAGAAATTGGAAAAATGTTGCCAGAAAGGTGAATTCTTGCAGGGGAAGAAGAACCATTTGAATTATTGAGTTGCAAATTGCCACCAGAATGATTGAAAATGAAGACCCTGAGAAAAAAGGTGGTGTCTGGGCTTTGGATCAACAGCTGGACCAGCCCATGGATGAGGAGGCTAAGAAGTTCAGTAACATGTCCGAGGACAAGGTTCTCTCTCTCTCTCTCTCTCTCTCTCTCTCTCTCTCTCTCTCTCTCATCCCCTTCTCATTTTGCAGTAAACTGCTTCAAAGCCCAGTTCACCAAAATTGGGAATGTCATTTTTGAAGTCTTTAATTTTTGTATCTGGTACCCAATTGTTTTTTTACTCTCTTGTTTATGCTCAGTTAAGATAGAGATACGTGAATTGAAATTGTGAAAATGAATGCATTCAATTAGATGAAGTCAGACTTTTGTTATTGATTGTGACTCTTTTATGCTATATGGTTGCACTGAATGTAGCCTGCCCATTCCAGGCATGACCTGAATGCAATTAACAGATATTTAAGATACTGTGTTATTTTAGGACTAACTTTTCTCCTGTTTCTGATTGCTTTTTGTTTCCTCCAGAAATGTTCATCAATAACGGTTCTGCAGCTTGCATTTCAAAGCCTTGGTGTGGTCTATGGAGATTTGGGCACATCTCCTTTGTATGTTTTCTATAATACATTTCCTTATGGAATTGACGAGCCAGATGATTTACTTGGAGCTTTATCGGTTGTTATATATTCCCTCACTCTTATTGCACTCGTGAAGTATGTTCTTATTGTCTGCAGAGCAAATGACAATGGTCAAGGTAATTGATCTTAGCCAATAAAGTTACTTTATTCTAATCATATAGGCTCCCCCTGCCCATCTTTCTACTAGTAATGCAGTTCCCAGATAATTAATGTTAGTTTATCTATATTGATTGTTTACTAGTAGGTAGGATTACATTATGGATGGTTTTTTGAGCCTTTTGTTTCACGTATCACCAACAGTGCAGTTCATTTATTTATTTCCCTCATTCTCTTAATTGATTGGTGGTTCTTATTTCTCTTTCCCTTTGGAAGAATTGAAGGAAGGTTTTCTTCCTGATGATTCCATGAATTAGAAAAGGGGGAAGAATAAATTTTGTGAGGGAGAGGGGAACAGATGAAAATTTGGTGTAGAAACATTATGTAAACATGTACAAGACATCCACATAACAGATTTTCTTAAAATTAAATCCCTGCTTCTTTGAGAAGGTAAACATAATTTTGATTTATTATAATCACCTTGGAAGAGACAAAGGTCTGTAACACTTTGTGTGGATCAATCATGAAGATGTACAGAATGAGTCTATGGTTGATAAGAACTTATGGAAAATTGTAAAGTGAGTGCAAGAATAAGTATTCTGAAATTAATTGATGCCAGAATTCTTTTAAAAATATTGGAGGGTTGTCTTAATGATTTACCATAAGACTGCATAAAATACAACGAGAGGGAGGGAAATACATGTTTGAAAGTATGAAGTCACACAAAAAGTGAATCTTTATTTAAAGGGAGTTTCATATAAAGTGTAAAGTGTGAAAAATCGGGGCGAGTCATGATTGAACTGCAACATCGTGGGATGGCAGAGCACAAGTTTGAGCCTTGGAGGATTCCTTTATCAGAGTAGCTGTTTCTTGTGAAACCTCTGGAAACCCACTTCCAGTTTTCAGGTCCTTAAAATACCTGCTCAATGTGGAAATAGCACTGGGTGATGGCCTCGTATATATCAATATTGCTGCTGTACGCCACAATTTTTCCTGATTTATTTTCATCTCAGGTATAGCCTCTAGTAATGATTTCTGAGCTAGCATTGCTCGTTAAAAAAAAAATCATTGCTAAAGCAAATATTTACGTTAACGTAAAAACTCATGAGATCAGATGCAAGGGGTGATTCAGACTCTTTTATGTATTCTTTTTTTAACTAATATCATGCATCCTTTGCTATATGTACTTCTGATGCTAGTATACCATGAGATACAGTATCCCAGTATGTTCCCTCCGAATGAGGCAAATTTCCATGTTTGATTCCTCTGACACTTGGTTCCTGTAAGCTTATCCTCCTCATGGTTTCAGGTGGAACATTTGCTCTTTATTCATTACTCTGTCGACATGCAAAAATAAAGACTGTTCCTAACCAAGACCAAAGTGATGAGGAGCTAACAACATATAGCCGTTCTACATTTGGTGAGAAATCATTTGCTGCAAGAACCAAGAGATGGTTGGAGGGACATGCATTAATGCAGAGCACACTTCTTATTCTTGTCCTCATTGGCTCTTGCATGGTGATAGGGGATGGTATTTTGACTCCAGCCATATCAGGTATATATGTTCATGTAGTAGGATCATTTTTCTGTCTATGTGTTCATAAATAATCTTCTCACAGAAGCAGATCTTTTTCAACATATTGTATGTGAGTAGGTTACACAAAAAGGTAAATGAGATCAGCCAAATAGTATATGAGTTTAAACAAGTGCCTGGATCAGCCAGGTTTAGCAGTTACCTTTGTTAAATGAGGAAACCTTTAAACAAGAAAAGTTGTTAAACAGATTTCAGCATCTAGTAGAATAATGTTGCACTGCCACTGTTGGAGATTGGGCAAGGTGATAGGGTCAAAGGAACCAACTGGTGGCAATTATGGAGATGCTGCAAGGATTATAAAAATTATTTTTCGATATATTGGTTACTTCTTGGAATAGCTTTCTTACTTTTGGAATAGAAACATAATAACACTTGAAAAATAATATCTTTAGTAATTAGACGACAAAAAGGAAGAGAACTTGTTTTCTCCAATGGTACTCATGTTGCCATTATATTGAGCATAATGGATGCTATACTCTTAAGTTGAATATGTAGTCCACTTTCTGAACTATCTGCATGCATGCTGCTGTCACTTTTTCTTTACACAAAAAGCAATATGAAAGTGAGTTATTCATAACTCCAGAAATGTTACAAATTGATGCATTGATGCTTAAGGTTAAACCATATCACATGATTTACATCTCTTGGATAGGATCTTGTAATTTATGAAGTGAAATGTCTTTGGGTGGTGAGCTTTGAAAAATTTCTTCGGGCTTCGTTTGACCAAGAATGTATGTTTTTGACTTTCTGTCAGTTAGTGAAGAATTATATAGTGGATAGAAACGTACATAGGATCATGAAAATGCTTGGTGCAAATGGGAGTGGAAGAGTGGTAATAAATTTTAACATTGCCCTTTTACAAAGCAAATATGGGTTAATATTCGAATGTGTCTGGGGTGGTGTGGCTTTGCCTACGAACTGCTACTTGTCATTGGTGGAAGGTTATTCGGGTATCGGGGCCGATAAAAAGGAGATTACCCTTTTGCAGTGTGTGGTATTGACTTCTTTGAGGATTATTTGGTTGGAAAAAAATAATAGGGCGTTTGATGGGATGCGGGTATACTTTGAGATAGAATTAGATTTCTAACTTCTCTATGGACATCTTCAGGGGTTTTTCTTTTAGTCTAATCCGTCTTATATTATTGCATCATGTTATTCCTTTTGAAGCCTCCAATTAGGGGCTTGATTTTGGCTGTTCATTTTGAACTGATTGTATAGTTTGGACTTATGTAATAGAGGACATTATTCTAGAAGGAAAATTGCCTATGATTCAAAGGATTTTACGTACACCACATCTGAGAGCTCCTTTTGAAAATAATTAATGTTTTCTTTAATGCTAATGCGGTGACAATGATTCTTTCTCAGTTCCATTGGAAGCTGCGTAGCCATATTCTTTTCGATAAGTATAAGTAATACTTTAACCAAACTATCTTTTGCAGTTCTGTCAGCAGTTGGTGGGATCAATTGTTGCCGGTTTCATACTAGTAATGGTATCTCCATGCTCCTGGATGTGAAGTTCTTTTATTTGCTTTGTCATTTCTGCAACTGAATCTATCAATTTTCTAAATCTTATCTAATTGTAGTTAAACATTCTTTATACAGACATAGTCGTGGTTGTTGCTGTTGTTATACTGGTAATTTTGTTTATCATGCAACAATTTGGTACACAGAAATTCGGTTGGCTGTTTGCACCAATTGTGCTCCTTTGGTTTCTCTTAATTGGAGGAATTGGCATCTTCAACATTTGGAAATATGATACTAGCATTTTGAGAGCTTTTTCACCTGTGTATGTGATAGCATTTTTTCGAAAGGGTGGTACACATGGGTGGGCATCTCTCGGAGGTATCATGCTTTGTATAAACGGTAAAATTTCTGTATGCTATTATTGAATTTGATCTCTTCTCTTGTTTCTGATCTGAATTTTGTGACTTTACTCTCTCAATACTGGTTGTGCACCATTTACAGGAACAGAAACTCTTTTTGCTGACGTATCCCATTTCCCAGTCCTGTCCGTACAGATTGCTTTCACATTAGTTGCATTTCCTTGCCTTCTTTTAGCCTACTCTGGTCAAGCTGCCTACCTTATGAAATATCCACATCATGTGTTCGGGGCTTTTTATTACTCTATTCCAGGTTTGTTTGATCTCTCAACTATAAAATATAGTGTATCCACATCATGTGTTCGGGCTTTTTATTACTCTATTCCAGGTTTGTTTGATCTGTGTGTGTGTGTGTGTGTGTGTGATGTCCCTACAACATGTGTGGAACTTGTCAACAAGATATGAACATAACACATTTCTTGTCTGAGCACCAACTCAATATTTATGAGAGATGTCATGATACTGAAACTGAAGCAGTTCAAAAATAAAATACTAGTACTTGGAAGGGTGATTTAGTTATGGGTATAATGATCATCGTTAGCACTTTCCTAACAATGGAGTTGCTCTCATTCTTGAAGACCAGTTTGGACATCAAAAAGAAAAAATGGCTTTTAGGAGTTGGTCTGTTATGTGAGTAAGAGTGTTGTAGGAACTAGGAATTTACACTTCATGAAGAATTTCATAAATAACTAGGAAATTATACATGACAATTTTCATTTGAAGTCTGTTATTCAAGAAAATTCTCTTAAACTTTCATACATTTTCAGAGTAGAGTGAATGCCCCATGTTGATGGTAATTTGTTGCTGAAAGATGCCGATTAATCATTTTTGCAGAAAGCATATATTGGCCTGTGTTCAGTGTTGCAACTGCAGCTGCTATTGTTGCAAGTCAGGCCACCATAACTGCAACTTTTTCATTAATCAAGCAGGCCCTTGCGCTTGGCTGTTTCCCAAGAGTCAAAGTTGTATATACATCAAGGAGCCATCACCAGATATATATTCCAGACATTAATTGGATTCTTATGATTCTATGCATTTCGGTGACAGCTGGATTTAAAAATCAAAGCCAAATTGGGAACGCTGCTGGTGAGTTTATCCTCTTGTTCCCCTCATATCACACCTTCTTCTGATTCTGCATAATATCCCTATAGTAACATGTCATGGAATAAGCTATAAACTTTTGAATGAGCCAATGAATTTCATCCCGAGTAGTGATTACTGGGTGAAATTTTAGACAAATCTTGTTCACATTTCTCTTCTTAAACTTGCGGTCTGACTATTACTTGTTGTATCCCTTTCCAAGCTCGCTGGTTGAACTTGCAACAACTAACACAATCGTACATGTTGCAACAGGGACGGCTGTTGTCGTAGTCATGTTGGTAACCACATTTCTTATGATTTTAGTCATGATATTAGTGTGGCGCTGCCATTGGACTCTTGTACTCATTTTCGCTTGCTTAACATTGGTAGTGGAGGGCACTTACTTTTCTGCTGTACTCCTTAAGGTCAATCAAGGTGGGTGGGTTCCTCTTGTGATTGCGGTAGCCTTCTTTATCGTTATGTATGGCTGGCATTACGGTACAGTAATACGCTTTGACATTGAGATGCACAGTAAGGTATCGATGGCATGGATTCTTGGACTCGGTCCCAGTTTAGGACTGGTTCGGGTACCTGGGATAGGACTTGTGTACTCTGAGATAGCCACTGGAGTGCCTCGCATCTTCTCTCACTTTATCACCAACCTTCCCGCCATCCATTCTGTTGTTGTCTTTGTCTGCGTGAAGTACCTTCCTGTCTGCACAGTCCCAGAAGAAGAACGGTTCCTGGTAAAGCGGATTGGACCCAATAACTTCCACATGTTCCGTTGTGTTGTAAGATATGGCTACAAAGACGACCACAAAAAGGATGATGACTTTGAGGAGAAGCTCTTTGACAACCTTTTCACGTTTGTCCGGCTTGAGTCCCTGATGGAAGGATCTCCAGGCTCTGATGTATCCAGTATACTTAACCAGCAAACAATCCAATCAAGAGATGCCATGTGGAACAATAACAACAACAGAAGTATACCTTACTCCAGTGCAGACCTGTCAATTACATCAGTGGACTCAATTGAGCTTGCTGATTCTCCAATATACGTGAGCCAGCCTCTGACGTGCTCCATTCCTACAAGCAGCCAGCTGGTGGAGATCGATGAAATAGAATTCTTGAACAGGTGTAGAGATGCAGGGGTGGTGCACATACTGGGAAATACTGTAGTGAGAACTAGGAGGGACTCAAATTGTTTTAAAAAGATGGCTGTTGATTACCTTTATGCATTTCTTAGGAAGATATGTAGAGGAAACAGTGTACTCTTCAATGTTCCTCATGAGAGTCTCTTGAGTGTTGGACAGATTTTCTATGTATAAACACTTTTTGGTAGTATAAACCAGCAATTGACTCAAATTACCAAAAAAGAAATTGTGACTCGGTTGGATCCAACAAAACTCCCATGTTTTTACTTAACGTCAACCAATTTTTGGTATGCAGTCTTGTCCAAATCATAATGTCTCAGCTTGTGATATTTTCAAGCGCTACTTCTTTTCATTGGATTTTTCCTTCTATATTTTGGGTGAAGTGAGGGCCAAAAACCCAAAAACAAATATCTTAAATTAAGCTAAAACATTACTACGTGGCCTAGCTAGCCACAACAATCTCTTAACAAAGATCACATAACCATGCTCTGTTAATAAAGATATCATAAATGAGTCCTTTCATTCTTTTAGTTATTCATTTAAAAAAGTAATTTAATCATTTATAACGATGTACCGGTACCACCAGTACGTTGAATGTACCACAGAATTACTGATCACAAAATGTAGATTATTAATATAATTAGGACCTCCTCACATTCATAGTTGCCTTTTATTTTTGTTTTCCCAAACATGCGTGCTTGTCTTCACTCGATGCTTAGTGAAAAGAATGTCCTTGCCCTTCATTTTGTATTAATTTTCTTCTACAAATATTCCCTTAACTAATAGTTAATAACTATGTGGACGCAACAGCAAATCCTCATTGGATTTCGTACATAAGAAACGCGCGCTCTAAATCTTAGGCAATGAGTATTTTTGGTATTTTCTACATTAACAAAGATCGTATTTGGGTTGTCGCCAAAACACAAGCTTGCTGATGAGCAAGGATTAAAGTATCGGCCGTGTAGATAATATCGGGCCTCCAATTTACGGATATTTCGAGGGATATATCGTTATCGTTTTGGGTATCGGAAAAAAATCAACAAAAATGACAGATTTAGGTATTGAAACACATAATTTTGGTGTAAAACTTTCATAGATGTTATGTACATTGTCAATGAATGTATTGAACAAATAAAACTCAAAATTACTAATAATAAGATATATATATATAATGAAATATAAGTGGTATGTAATGCGCGTTAATGAAAAGTTTGAAAATAAAAAGTTGATTAGAATGAATAAACCATGCATAAATCCATAGTTTATTTGAACATTGGATTACAATTTAGATGAGTGTCCAACTACGTAAATGAAGAGCTCCTATGAGGTTCAAACAATGTGGAACAACCATCTAGATTTATACAATAATCATACCAAGTCATGTAACCCGAGTAGTTTGTAAGCTATGTTTGAACATGGTGCACATATGTCTTTCTTGAGCTCCCTACTGTCCTCCCATATATGGGATAGTTAGGATTAACCCAACTAGTAGGTCCATAATATGTTTCATCATCTTGAACTCCATATCTAGTTCTACTATAATCAGACATGACATAACCATAGCCATCATAAGATTCATTTGAGTTAGTACTAGGTCTAGATTCTTTTGATGCATACTCTAAAACACGCATACTCCAAAACATCTTTTGAATTGAATATTGCCAAAAGCCTTCACACATATATCTAATCACTGCACATATACCTCCAAAAAATCTTTTCAGTTTCAATTTGCTTCAAAACTTTTGAATTTTTTTGGGTTTTGTTATGGGTATCGGGAAATATCGGAAATATTGACAAAATATCAAGGATATCGCACTTATTAGGGATATATCGTCGATATCGGGGAAGATATGACCTTACCCCCCCAATATCGGTGTCGACAATTCAAAATATCGATATATCGGCCGATATTTTAATCCTTGCTGATGAGTGCGAGGATAATTAACCAAAAAAAGGAGGGGGGGGGGGGGGGGAAACAATATTTACCATGTTCTATAATTTAACTAGGATAAGAATGGCTAAATGAACTAGGAGCACCGCCCTCTCTCTGTTACTCCTTTTGCTCTGAAGAATGGCGTTTGTTCATCTCTGTCACTCTTGTGGTATGCTTTGATGGGTACCTGAAGTCTTCAAGGCTAAACCCACGTGGGAATATCACTTACAACCAAGTAAAGACACTGAAAGTTTTGATTTTGTTTTGTTTTTCCTTTTTTCCTTTACATTTTTCTATGTAAATCATTTGCTGGGTGTTCTTGGATGGTCATGGCTTCAGTGGAGTGCTGGGTTTTGTTCATTTTTTGTGTGGCAGTTTATCTCCGTTCAATTGAGGTATTAAAATGCATGCTCTGGGTTTTGTTGTCTATTCAACTTGTTAATTTTTTGTGTTGGATTTCTGGGTAGTGGATTTGATTCACTTGAATGATCTTTTAATGTTTCATACTTGATAAAGCTTCTTAATTGGGGAAGTAATGTTGATTTTTAGTTGTTGCTGAGATTTTTTTTTCCTGGTAATTTGCAAGCAATTCAAAAGCATAAGAATCTTCAGATTGTAAACACTGATATCTGTTTTGGTTTAGGTTCGGTCAGGACTAAAGTATATGGGGTTGCAGCTTTCAATGTAGAGGGAGAGTAAGAAAGAACAACTGGGGGATTGAAAAAATTATACTCGAGAGGTAAATTGGTGGAAGGGAAGGAGAATCATTTGAATTATTGAGATGCAGATGGCTAGAAGAATGTCCGCTGATGAAAACACTGATAACAAAGGTAGCGTCTGGGCTTTGGATCAGCAGCTTGATCAGCCCATGGATGAGGAGGCTAAGAGGCTTAGAAATATGTACAAGGAAAAGGTATTATCTTTCTCCCTCTCTCTCTCTCTCTCTCGCTCTCCTCCATTCTGTAGTGAACTGTTTCAAAGCCTAAAATACCCATATAATTAGTAATGTCAATTCTGAAGGCTTTGAATTTTTGAAATCTGGCAGTCAATTGAAGTTTTGTTTTTGTTTTTTTATGATCAGTTTATTTGGATGTAGTTTGGCATTGTTTATTGATTGCAACTCTTCATACTGTATGGTTGAAATAATTGCATGATATATATACAACGAATGTAGCCTGCCTATACCTGGCATGGATTTGACATATATTTTAAGATATTGTGCTATTTCTAAAATAGCTTTGCTCTTGTTGCTGATTTCCTTCCAGAAATATTCGACATTAATGCTTCTGCAGCTTGCATTTCAAAGCCTTGGTGTGGTGTATGGAGATTTAGGCACATCTCCTTTGTATGTTTTCTACAATACATTTCCTGATGGAATTGGTGACCCAGAGGATTTAATTGGAGCTTTATCTGTTATTATATATTCCCTCACTCTCATTCCACTCCTCAAGTACGTTTTTTATTGTCTGTAGAGCAAATGACAATGGTCAAGGTAATTGATCTCAACCAATGATGTTACTTTATTCTAGTTCTATATCATCCATATATAAGCTTCTTTTCTCTCTCCCCCACCTTTATAATATTAGGCATTACCTTGAATTCTGTGCACAGATAATTAATCTAATGTATCTGTGTTTGATTTCTCAATAAGAGACAATTACATCGAAAATATGGAAGCTGTTATGGCCTTTTTCTGATGTAGTGCCAATAGTGCAGTTCATTTGTTCTTCCCTTTTCATTCATTTAAGGTTGATTGATGACTGTCCTTATTTCTGCTTTGCTTTGGGAAAGTTGATGACAGATTTCCTTCCTGATGATTCCGTCTGATGATATAAAACTTAGAGATAGAATCAATTAAAGGGGAAAGAACAAAATTGGTAAGGGACAGGACACATATGAAATGATAGTGGATAACAATAGGTGAACATGTACAAGGTATCTACATAATAAAAACAGTTTGGATTAGCTTCCAGCTTCTTTGAGAAGGTAAACACGATTGTGATCTTACACACACCCCTTCAAGCGAGAGGTTTGTAGTGCTTTATACTCATCAATCATGCAGATGTACACAATGAGTTTATGGTTGATAGTGATTTATGGAAGATTGTAAATTAAGTGAAAGAGTGACATTTAAAAGTAATGAATGTCAGAATTCTTTGCTATATATTAAATGATTTTCGTTATGTATTCTAATGCTAGCATACAGTAGCATGCATTATGCTGTATCTTCCCTCTCAATGAGGCAAATTTCCCTATCTGATTTTGTCCGCACGTTCCTGCAAACTTATCTTCCTAGTGTCTGCAGGTGGAACATTTGCTCTTTATTCACTACTCTGTCGACATGCAAAAATAAAGGCTATTCCTAACCAAGACCAAACAGATGAGGCACTAACAACATATAGCCGTTCTACATTTGGTGAGCAATCATTTGCTGCAAGAACCAAGAGATGGTTGGAGGGACATGCATTAATGCAGAGCACACTTCTTATTCTTGTCCTCGTTGGCTCTTGCATGGTGATTGGGGATGGGATTCTGACTCCAGCCATATCAGGTAGGCATCTTCATGGTTGATATTGTAGAATAGTTCTTCTGTCTACTATCTTCATAACTAATCTGCTTATTATGTAACTTTGTATTACACATACCCACAAACGCTCTTTTCCACTATCTCCTCTTTCTTCTCCATCTATTACCGAAACCCTAACACATTCAACATGCGTAAATTGTTCCTATGGAAGTAAATAATAAGGGAAGCTATTGAATACCCTTGCACCCCAGACCAATCTTTATCATGAAATCCATTCTTTTTTTCATTTCTAAATGATAAAGGTACTTCCTTGAAAGCATTTTACTAAGTGTGAGTGTTGTAATTTTCTGCAAATATTCTCTGATAACTCCTGCTGAGGTGAGTATGATCCTTTATCAGTTTTATTGGAAGCTGCTTAGCCATATTCTATTCAATACGTATATGCAATACCTAACCATACTATATTTTGCAGTTCTGTCAGCCGTTGGTGGGATCAATGTGGGCCACCCTAAGATTAGTAAAGGTATCTCCGTGCTTTTGATATAAAGCTATCGTTTCATTTGCTTTGTCAAGTTCGTGACTCAATGTATCAATTTTTCCAAATCTAATTATAACCACACTTTTGGTATACAGGGGTAGTCGTGCTTGTTGCTGTTGTTATACTGGTACTTTTGTTTACCATGCAACGCCATGGTACAGATAAAGTGGGTTGGC